GTTGAAGAATATTAAAATGTCAGCCTCTTAGATTTGGCCCATATTTCATATTTTTGCCTGCCTCTAAGGTCACAACATGAATGCTACATTCTCTGGTTGATTTGAGAAGACTGGTATTTTTTCAGGAGTTTGTGTGGCCACATTGTTTCCAAAGCCCTCAGGCAGTTTGTGGGTCCTAGGACTGCTTCAGCATTCCAAGTTTCACTCCCTCTTTGTTGGCAACGTGGTTGTTTTAAATTTAGTAATTGCTAGATGAAAAGTATATTATTTTAAAATTAGCCCTGGCTGGTGTGGTGCCGTGGGTTGGGTGCTGACCTGTGAACTGAAAAGTCACAGATTGAGTTCCTGGTGAGGGCACGTGCCTGGGTTGTGGGCAGGTCCCCAGCTGGGGGCATGCAAGAAGCAACTGATCAATGTTTCTCTCTCTCCTTCTCCCTTCCTCTCTCTCTAAAAAGTAAATAAAATCTTTTTAAAAATTAGTATTTCTTTAATTACTAGTGAGTTTTAATATTTCTATACATGAAGTTTGGAAGGTTGTGCTTATTTCATTGGTATTAGTCTGACTAGAACTCTTGAAAGGGTACCACAGTGACAATTTCAACAAATTATATATCCTTTTTTAATTGGGTGAAACTTGTAGAAATAAAATGGACAAAAACTATGTCTGACCCTTGAACAGCATGATATAAATAAGTACATTGTGTTGGCAGTTCTGTGACTTGGATTTTAGAGCCCCACGTGATGTTAAGAAGTTAGATGCTGTTGTTTGAGTTTGAACATAAAAGATGCTTATTTTTCTATGTAATGGGGGGAAGAAATAAGGATTAATTGTTTCTAAATCTTAAGTTAGCCTTTGGTTTTTACATGTTGCCCAATAAAACATTGCGTTGAAGAACGATGAGCCTGTCGATCATGAATCATTCTTGGGTCAGATGCTTTCAGTTATTACCCAGTTGGTGTTATCACTTAGTCACCGCGACTCTGGCTTGGGCCTGCCTGGGCCAGCAATCTGAGGACCCGTGGCCAAACAGGTTGACAGCGGCCTTGACCAGGGCAGAGGACCACCTCCTAAGCCCAAGAAGTCTGCTGGGATGAGCCCCGTGAATTCTGCTGGGACCTGTCTGCCTGCCTTCTTGCAGGTACCAGCTGATGTTACCACCCAAATGTGGTATGTCATTTTGCGTAAGTGGAATTTGGAAAGGAGCTCTACAAATTGAGAGCGACGAATTTGCAAATGGCTCTTCGTGAAGTGGCGCTGGCCTGGGTGTCTACTCCACCCCTAGCAGCCGGTCCTGAGCAGATGGCGCCATCTGCTGACAGCTTCTCTCCGGCTTCACTGGGGTCCCCATAGGAATACTGGTCCTCTTGGTCCTCTGCCCTCTATGTTTACTGAACAACATAAATACATTAGTCATATGAAGAATTGCCTCTGAAAAAATCCTCACATGGTGTTCCATTGTGGAGAAAGCATGTATTTTCAAAGCTTTTGACACAAATTTCAAAATTTTCCTTTAGAACGGCTGTACCAATTTATATCAAATATTGAAGCTTTAACCAGTTCTGATAGAAAGACTGCTAATCTATGTTTTTGAAATAAAAATCTGATTTCAAAATTTTGAAACAAAAATCTGATTTCAAAATTTTGAAACATACAAACTTAAAAGAGTGGAAGGAACAGTGATCCCCCCACCTCCACTCAGCAGGTGCTGACCTCAGCCACAACTTGTGTAGTTGTGTGTACGCTCTTGCGGACCATTTAAAGTGGAATGTGGATACCATGGCCATGCCCCTAAATATGTCAGCCTCTGCTCCTCAAAGCAAAGATGTCTCCATGCGCGTACAGCATTATGCCACCGCTCAGCTTCTCGTGCTGGCTCATATCAACTGTAGAGCACACCTCCCCAGGGCTTCCCAGACTTTCTTTTACAACTTTTGTTTTTTTAAACCAGGATCACATACTGCATTTGGTTGGTGTGTTTTTCCATCTCTTTTTAACTCAGACCAGTTCCCTCGCCATTTTTGTTTTGATTTGTGGGCACATCCTCAGGATTGGGCAGGTGTGCCCAGAAGTTGCGTTCTGTGTCCCTTTTGGGAGGCCCATCACATTCATTGGTCTCATTACTGTTGATGTGACTTTTCACCTTTTGGTTAAGATGTTTTCTGCCAGGGCTGTTCACTGTGAAGTCACAGTTCTCCCTGTAATTGAGAGTAAGCATCTTGTGGCCAGTCTTCTTGGACTTGGACCACATGCATGTCCCGCCTCTTGTCGCGCTCTTGCTGCCGAGAATGGCCGTCCGTGACACTCCTTGCCGGGAGCCATGATTACTGTGCTGATTGCCCAGTGGTGACGATCGCATTCCATCCTCCTCTGCACATTGCCGGAACTCAATGGTAACTTAGAGTGCCCCCCACCCCGTTTATTTTTTCGTTCATGTATTTTTGTTAGTATGGATGTGTGGATTCTTATTTTATTCTCAGCTACCATCATATTTTGTTGCTCAGATTGTCCCAGATTTGGCCGGCAAGAGCACCTGCAAGCTGGCTTTGTCTGTCCTTTTGACATGTCCCCATAGTTTTCTGAGCACAGGTTTCAGGCTCATCTTGCACTTGACCTGACCCAGCCGCGGGATCAAATCAGCCCTTTCTCTGAGGAGTCCTGATTCTTCTTATTGGGAGTGGTATTTATCAGCCAATATATAGGTGCTAAGTGCTCACTGCTGCTGGGTGTCATTGCTTCTAGGCCCTCTCAATGGACATAGCCAGGAAAGTGTGTGTTTTCATGCATGTGTGTATATATGTATGTGTCTATTTGTGAGATACATGGATCTATATTTATTTCTATATATTTGTGTATATCAAAAACCATGAATTCAGCCCTGGCTGGTGTAGCTCAGCAGATTGAGCGCCAGCCTGCGAACCAAGGGGTCGTCATTAGTTCGATTCCCAATCAGGACACATACCTGGGTTGTGGGCCAGGTCCCCAGTTGGGGCTGTGCAAGAGGCAACAATCAATGTATCTCTTGCACATCAATGTTTCTCTCCCTCTCTTCCTTCCTTCCCTTCCCTCTAAAATTAAATAAAATCTTTTTAAAAAAAATTCATGAATTCATACCGACAACTCTTGTTTCCAGCTGGTGGGTGGGGGCAAGCCACAGGGAAGACTTGGGGAAAGGGGTGTGGGTGACGGGGAAAATGCGCATGCACAGGCTGGCCGTGCTCGGGGGCGGCCAGGGTGGGCCGACCTAACCAGGCTGGGCAAGAAGTCGACCTGCTGGAGGAACTACAGATGGCCACCCCTTTAACTGTGTCCACACTTGGAGCCGGGGAGGGGCTGACCGGGACTGGGGGGGCTGTGAGGGAGGGCAGGGTTGGACAAAGTCAGCCCTGGGACTCGGTCTGCAAGGGCGGTTTGGACCAGATTTCCACTTTGGAAATTGGAGAATGGGGAGAAGGACGGTAAGAAGATTAGAGGCCTCAAGAGCTCCTGCCCTGATCAAGGTGCGGGCCATGGTGGGGGGCAGGTCAAGGCACTCTGGGGTCACTGCCTGGGGACATGGGGGCAGATTAGGGCACTGGGAGGAGGGCCAGGCTTTGGTCAAGGCAGAGACTCGGTTTCAGATTTGCAGATGTGTGAGGCCTACCTCTCAAGGTTAGGCATCTCAGAGGGCAGCGAGGGCAACGCCGTGATGACCGCACATGGGCTCCCTTCCCAGCAGTGGGACATTCCCAAGTCCTGTTGTCCATGCGGGGCAAAGATAGAATGGCCACTTCAGCGAGAAGGTGTCTTCAGACTGAAAGACGACACTCCAACTCCATGGAATGTAGTGGGATTTATTATGGGGTAATTTACCACCCGAAGATAGGGGCTGGAGCAGGCAGGGACCCAACAGCTTTGTGCGAATTACCCACCCCCTCTCCCAACACTCCTGTTACTGTGCTGTTTTTATACTATCACTCAGGTACTAATGATTGACAAGACAAAGAGACAACGCATGCAGTAGCCCCAGAGGCCATCCTCGCTAGTTTGATATGTATCTCAGTTGTCACCCTGGCCATTACTAACAAAAGTATTTTATGGTTACATTTTAGAAGGTTTTAATGTGCTTACTAAAGACAGTGAGCTGGGTCAAAGGCCACAGCACAAAAGGACACAGGGGTGGAGATGGTCTGGGTTCACGCACCACGCATCACGCACCAGGCTCCCCCTCTCCCCTCTGCACGGCCTTGCTCAGCCTTCCTTTCATTTCGCCCTCAGCTGCATTAGCGTGGCTGACACCCTCCCCTGTCCTCCTCCTCCACCCGTGTGAGTGACATCGCTTGATAGTGCCCTTGTCCCGCTGGCTGCTGCTCCTCGTTCTGTGCTGGGTCCCCCAGCCTTCTTACATGGTCCCCCTCCTCTTTCTTCCTGGGCGCTCTCACATAGTTGGGCTTTATCTACTGGCTTGGGGTCCTGGGGTTGCCTAGCCAAGTCCCACTACCTGGGAGGATGGAACCAGCAGGAATGGATTCTCTCAGGGTCCTGGCAGCCAGAACCCAAAATCAAGATGTCAGCGGGGCCATGCTCCCTCTGAAGGCTCAGGCCTCTACCACCTGGTGGCAGGCCAGGCGATCTTGGCCGCGGCAGCCCGGCTCCAGTGTCTGCCTCCAGTTCACACAGCCATCCCCTCAGTGCATCGCGGGCCCTTCTCTGCCCTCTCCTAAGGACACGGGAGTCACGCAGGATCTAGGGCCTCCCCTCAATCCAAGATGATCTCGTCCCAAGATCCTTAATAATTACATCTGTAAAGATCCTTTTCCAGATAATGTCCCGTTCACAGGCACTGGGGGTTAGGACTTGGACATGTCTTGCATGACACAGTTTGACCCCCTCTGCACATACTAACCCTGATGATTACTGACTTTATATTTCTGGCCCAGACTCATTTGTTCAGAATTTCCTCTTGGGTTTCTGGGAAGCACCTCACACCTAGAACGCCCTGACTCTTGCTTTCTCTCCCCAGGCCGCAGGACCTGCTCCTCTCCGTCCACTCCTCACCAGGACATGCGGCTCGGCTCTGCCGGTTGCTCAGGTGGGAACGCTGGGCCTCCCTGGCCCCTCCCCCGGCCCCAGCGCACCTGCACACCCTGTGCTCTGGGCCCCCGCCTGCCCATGGCAGCACCCCGTCCTCGGTGTGCTCCCAGTCACACAGCCTGTCCTTAACAGTCAGGGACTCTCCTTAGAGATGCCGCGCCGCCCTGCCGCAGACCTTCCCAGGTACTCCCACAGTCCTCGCTCTGGCCCGGAGCGGCTGTGTGAGCGGCCCTGCCGCCTGCTCCCTTCCCTCCCTTCCCCCTTCACCACTCTGCACAGCTACATCAGTGTGCCTGCCCTGAGTCGTTCTCTGTCCCTGACTGGTTTTCCTCCTCCCAACACCTCCTGACATTTACCTGTGCATTGTGACAGGAAAACAAGCCGTTGTTCCTTCTCTGTATTACATGCAGATGTTGGAAGAGTGCCGGCTCAGCCTTCCTGAGCACACCTTTATCATGCCTGTCGGCGCTCCAGCCTCCTGACTCAGTAGGTCCCAAGTCAAGTCCTTGAGGTCTCAGTCAGTGCCTTCTCAGGGAGCCTGCCCTGTCACACATCGGGGGAGCCCCTCCCTCGCCTCTGTCACGACACATGTGTGCTGCCTGACCTTCCTCATGTTTACGGTCCCGCAGCCCCTGGCCTTGTCTGCCCAGGAGAGCAGGGCTCCCCTGGAACAGTGTCCCATGTGTGCAGGCACTCACTCAACATTCGGGCGAGTGAGTGAGTAAATCCAAATGGCTGAAAATGTGATAGCAAGTCAGGCCCCATGCAAGAGCAGCCAACGTGATGGCCAAGTCAGCGGGGTGCTGAGTAGGATGTGGCTTATAGCACAGAGTTAAGTGTGGTTTTTTCATTCACGTAAAAATATGTATTTAAAAAAGGAGCCCTGGCTGCTGTGGCTCAGTGGATCAGTGGATTGAGTGCCAACCTGTGCACCAAAAATCACCGGTTCAATTCCCAATCAGGGCACATGGGTTACCAGCCGGGTCCACGGTTCGGGGCGTGCGAGAGGCAACCGAACAATGTATCCCTTGCACATGGATGCTTCTCTCCCTCCCTTCCCCTCTCTCTAAAAATAAATGAATAAAAAATTATATTAGATGCTGTGGAGTAGGGGGACAAAAGATGCACTGCAATTATTAACTGATGCTTTTCTGCTTTTGTTTTCCAGACACCATTTGTTTTTGACTCAAGATGATTTGATGTTTTATAATAAACTCATTAACCATGATGGCTACACAGACATTAAGCATAGACAGCTATCAAGATGGGCAACAAGTGAGAGCTTGAGTTATTCTGTGTTTTAATTATAGTCAGTCCACCTGGTACTAAACCACAAGCAATGCTTTGTATATTAATAGTTCAATTTCCCTGAGGTTTGCAGGGTCAACTTTAGTGTATTATGCATTTATCATGTGGTGTTCAAATTATTTCCTAAGTAATACCAAGACTGCTAGTAATTTTGACCCCCCTTAAATCATACTGTCTTGGGAATTTTTCATTTTAATATAAGTGTTAACAAGTATTACTGCTTTTAAAGAAAAGCTGGATGTTCCCTGACTGGCGTGGCTCAGTAGGTTGGGCGTCATCCCACAAAGTGAAAGGTCACGGGTTTGATTCCCAGTCAGGGCACGTGCCTGGGTCTTGGACTCCATGCTCTATCCCTGGTCAGGGCGCTTACTGAAGACAACCAATTGATGTTTCTCTGTCACATTGATATTTCTCTCCCTCTCTTTCTCCTTCCCTTCCCCTTCTCTAAAAATAAATAAACTCTTTAAAAAAAATAAAATAAAGAAAAGCTGGTGTTGTTGATAATCACAGGTTCCCATGTTGATGGTTGCTAATCTGAGTGGGAATTGCGTGGTTTCATATCCCCAGGTGTGAGTGGCAGAGGGGGACTTGTCCTGGTGTGTATGTGGGGGGAGAGAGACATCAACTTGCTGTTTCACTCATTGACACATTCATTGGTTGATTCTTGTACGTGCTCTAACCAGGGATCAAACCCACAATCCTGACATAGCAGGATGATGCTCTAACCACCTGAGCCGCCCGACCAGGACGCAGGTGGCTTTCCTGATAGCTCTCCCACTGTAAGACCGTGTTGTCGTTGAAGCCACCCAGGTGTTTTGTGTTGTGACCTGAAGGAGTTGGGGAGGAGGGGCTCACTGAAGGCCTGCACGGCCTCGCTCTGGACGCCTGAGGTCGTGGGAATGCCCTGTGTGCTCCCAGTGGGGGCCATTCCCCGTCTTCCCTGGAGTCCGGGAGCTGATTTCCACTGAAGACATTGAGCTCTGCCTTTGCTTCCCGCCGTCCCCACAGTTGGACGGCGGGGACAGCGCGCCCGTGCCAGCAGCTCTCCTCTCGCCCCCCTTGAGGATATTAGCCAGCACGGCCAGCTAATCCCAGTAGGGTGAACTCACCCACAGAAAGTCCCCGCTCTGGTGAGGCGCTGGGTAGGTTCTAGGGGGCGGTTAGGACCCGAGGCTGTCCCGTGACCCTCGGCGACTCTCGTGTCTTTCTTTGAAGGCCAGTTTTGTGCTGTTTCCAGTTTGGTCGTTCTTGCAGAGATTTTGTTTTTGAAAGGCTTTGAAAAAATGATAAGTGCTTTTTGCTTCTTATAGGAATCAAGGTAGAGAATTCTGTTTCAGCCTGCTCTTTGACCTGCAAGTCCTTTGGTATTTCCAAGAGACTTTGTCTCTATCATGCAAATCTAATGATGACTCCTCCTCCCCTTGCTGAGGCCTGCCCTGAGCAACCCCGCCCCCACCATCGCCTGGCCCCTCAGATTCCAGGCCCACCCACAGCCCCTCTAGGGTGCTCACCCCACCCCAGCTCACCTACCTGCCTGCCCCACTCCTGGGCACCTCTCTGCCCTGCGGCCCTGGGCCTTCTCTTCGCTCTCCTTCCGTGGGCAGCTGCTTGGCCAGCTTCTTCCTGTCCCGGGGCTCTTTGCCTAAGACTTTGCCTTCCTGCGAACACTGCCCTGCCTGCCCTAGTTGCCGCGCCAGCGCCCTCTGATCTTTTTCTCCGTCTTGGTGATCACCTTCTGACGCTCTGTTCTGTGATGGTCTTGTGTGCTTGGCCCGCCTGTCTCCTCCCTGTCTGCCCTGCTGTAGCCAAGTATCCAGCACGGTGCTGGGCGCAGCCGGGGAGGCGGGCAGGCGTCGGGGTGCAGACCGCTTGATTTTTATAGCTACGCACTTCCTCACGCTCACGGTGTGGAAAACCCTTTGAGAACGTTATTTTAAATAAGCATTTAATATTATTCAGTATAGGTATACCAGGTTTACTTAGCCATTCCTCTGAAGTTGACCATTTAGATTTTACTTTTTTCACAGTCATTAAAAAAGAAACCTTGAAATGCATACCTTAAAGCTTTTTTCTAATACTGTCAGATTTCCCTGCAGAAAGACTGCGTTTGAGTGGGCTTTCGTTACTTTAGTGTTTGTTTTGCTTTTCTTCAGAGAGAGAGAACAACAATTTCCCAAGGACACTGTATCATTGAAAGGTTGCAGGCTGGATGTGTCTTCGGTACCCAGACTGTTGGGGAGTCGGGGTCTGTGGCACTGCTTCCCGGGCCACAGCCCCCAGGTGTCGGGGCGGGTCCATGATGGGGCTCTCCCATCCCCTGGGGGCGGGCCCCCCGCCCCAGCTCTCCCAGCAGGCCCCTTCCTTTGAGGCACAGCAGCTGGGGTTGGGCGGGAATGGGAGATAACCTGCTCATGGATGATTACAAATTTATTGCGGCATTTTTTTTTCTTTTTGTAAACTGAGTTCTTTTTGTTTAAGCATTTAAATACTTTTTACCTAAGTTACAACCAACATAGCTAGTTTAAAGCAATTTAAGTGATAATATTTTGAAGACTTACTGTTATATTTAATATTGTTATTTTAAACACAGCAAACTGGTCTTTATTTTCTGAATACAGTGACTATAAAATTTTTTTTATAATTTATTCCTGAAGTTTATGGGTAGATAGGGGAGCATTTCAGCTCTGTCACAGATCTGTAGCACTTTGGGTATGAGATGTTTTGTGATAAGATAAGGAGAGCTTGGGCGATTTGTTTCTTCTTCTCTTACTGTGATGTTTTCAGCAAGAGGCTGCACGGCAGGCAGGACAGAGGAAGACTGCATACGGGCTGATGCCCTCCAGTGCTGCATGGTTGCTATGATTCTGAAAACCATAAGGATTTCACAGATATCAGTGCTCTTTGTTCTTAAACTGTTTGGATATTTGATCTTTAACCATTTTATAAACATTAAATTAAAGAGGAGTTTGTGGGTGACAGCCCCTTGTGTTGTTGCCAGTCACACAGCTGGCAGTTTACCATTCCCCCTTGTCTGTTACATTCCTGCTTGAGAATAGAACACTTAATAGCAGTTTATTTCCTGTTTAGTAACAACAATTATCCTCCTTTCACAGATGCAAGTAGTAACAGAGTTAAAAACGGAGCAAGACCCCAACTGCTCTGAACCTGATGTGGAAGGAGTGAGCCCTCCCCCTGTGGGGTCCCAGACACCGATGGATGCAGACAAGCAGGCCATTTATAGGTAGTGAAGGGATGTGAAGCATGCGGGCTGTAAGGGGAGAAATGAGAATAGAAGACTTTGTTACAGGGAACATTAGAGCTGTCGGCTAGGCAGCATAAGGTGTGATGTGATAACTGCTGGCATGAAGATTTTTTTAGAATTCCGATGTTACTCTACATTTTAGTCTACCTTGCAAAAAATAATTTTCAGGCCCAGGTGATTTTACTGGAGAATTCTACCAAAATTATAAAGAAAAAGAGCAGCAAGTATACACAATCTCGTCCAGAAAGCAGAAGATGAGGGAATGCTTCCCAAATCAGTTTACAAATTGAGCATCACTTTGATACCAAAGCAGTAAAAAAAAAAAAATGTACAGACACGTATTCCTCATGCATTTGGGCATAAAAATCATCAATAGAATATTAGCAAATTGAATCCAGCAAAAAAAGTAATAGAGTAATATTAGAATGATATATAGTGTCCGAGTGGAGTTTATCCTAAGTCTAGTTCACTGTTCAAAGATCAACCAGTGAAATCCACAGTGTGATCAATCAAGTGATATAGAAAAGCATTTGACAAAACAACAGCTAATTATTATTAAAAGCTGTCAGCAAAGGGGGACTTCTCAACTGATGAAGGGAAACTATAAAAGCCTGTAGCTCACATCAGACTTGATGGTGAAGGACTGAATGCCCTCCCCTAAGGCTGGGAATGAGGCAGAGCTGTCCACCCGAACTCCTCTTACTCAGCACTGTAATGGAAGTCCCAGCCAGCTCAGTAAGACAAGAAAAAGATTAGAAAGGAAGAAGCAAAACTGGCTCAGTGCACAAAGAACATGATTGTCTACATAGAAAATCGGAGCGTCTACCAAAAAAACTTCCAGGTACATAAATGAGTTTAATAAGCTCACAGGTTACATGCAGCATGCAGAAACCAATCCTATTTCTGTACCAGTAACATACAATTGAAAACAGAAATTTAAAAGACAATACATTTATAAGAGCTCCAAAAAAACTTAGGTATGAAATGCTGAGGCAAGCAATCAGAGACAACCGGGTAAATGGCAGGACATACCATGTTCATGGATTGGAAGACTCAGTTTAATAAAGATGTCAGTTTTCCTAAAATCAGTCTATAGACTTAATGCAATCCCAATTAAGTTTTAGCAGGATATTTTTGTACATATAGACAAGTTAATTCTAAATTTTATATAGAAGTCAAAAGAACTAGATCAACTAAACAATTTTTAAAAAGAATAAAGGAGTCTATTTGATCATAAGATTTGCTATCATATTACAGTAATTAAGACATTGTAATATTTGTGAAGGAATAGAAACATAGATTAATGGCACAGATAGTCTGGAGATAAATCTACACAAATAAGATTCAGTTGCTCCTTAGCAAAGGTACAAAAACAATTCAGAAGAGAAAAGGCAGACTTTCCAACAAATGGTGTTAGAAAAATTGGACATCCACTTGCAGAAAAAAGATCCTTGACCTACTCTTACATCTTATATGAAAATTCACTCAAAATGGATGACCACTGATCTAAATATAAGTTTTAAAACTGTAAAATTGGTATGTCCATTACAATGGAATATTATTTGGTCATAAAAAGCAATGAGGTAACTGATACCTGCTATGGCATCAGCAAGCCTTGAAAACATGCTAAGTGAAAGATGTCAGGCACAAAAGGTCATATGCTATATGAAATGCCTAGAGTTGGCAAATCGATAGAGACTGAAAGCAGAGTAGTGGTGGCTTGAGGCTGGGGCTTGTGGGTAAAATGGAGAGTGACGGCTAATGACTACAGGGTTTCTTTTGGGACTGGTGAAAATGTTCTAAAATTGCATGTGGTGATGGTTGCACAGCTCTGTGAATGTACTAAAAATTATTGAATTGTGAACTTTGAATGGATGAATTATATCTCAGTGACGCTGATAGGTCAAATACATGCATACATACATACCGAAACATTCTCATGCAAATGTAGAGCATCCATATTTTGTTTCTTTTTCCCCAGGCATCCACTGTTTCCATTATTAGCTTTGTTGTTTGAAAAATGTGAGCAATCCACGCAGGGCTCAGAAGGCACAACTTCTGCCAGTTTTGACGTGGACATTGAAAATTTTGTAAGGAAGCAAGAGAAGGAAGGAAAACCCTTCTTTTGCGAAGACCCGGAAACTGACAATTTAGTGAGTAAAATAAATGTTTTATTTTTTAATTTTTTCCAAATTTAAAATTTGATCAATAAATTTTAGACTTCCAGTTAGAACTTTAGACCATTTATAGTTCTGCTTAAGGGGAGAATATTACACTTCATGAGATAACTTCTGTGTGTGTGTGTGTGTGACTGGAATGTCTTCTAGCCTTCTCTGGTTACCCTTTCCCTTGATAATTAAATAAGCTGGTTTCAGCCAGCATCCTGAATGGACCAGAGGACTCAGCTCTCTGCTAAACACATGTAAAGGGTCATTAGGGTTGACATGCTTGCCTGCCTTACTTCTCAGGCAGTGTGTCTGTGCCCAACTTTAGTCCTTGGCTTTTCCTTCATCATTGACATATGACTTTATTCCCCAAGACAACTCTGTCTGGAGGCTCACACTGGTGTGTGGTGGGTGACGAAGTTCACGAAGAATTGAGGAGACCTGCCAGCACAGGGCAGGGACAGGCTCACCGCAGGTCTCCACGGCCCCCTTCCCCCATCCCATGGCCTTTCTGTGAGAAGCCAGTCTGTCTCACACGAATGCCCTCCTCCCAGGCCCGGCGCTCTAAAATGCAGGGTTCCAGGAAGGAATTGGCGAATTCTTTGAAGTTAAGGACACTGGTGCATCCACGGGGGGGGGGGGGCGGGGCCACGCGCGCTGTGGAGTGCTGTCGGCAGACTCTGGTTAAAGCCGCTCGCTCCCAGACCAAAACCTCCGTCAGGCCCTGGTCAGCAGAAGAGGGTCTTTGGAAACCTTTTTCCTGAATAAATTGCCCAGGTCTTAATTGTTGCTGTTGTTTTTTAAATTTCTCATTACGCATTCCAACCCTTATAACCTAATAGATTTTATAGGTGAGTTGTTTGACTTTGAGTCTGTCTCCTCGTCTTTGAAATGAGACTGACAGTGCTTGCCCTTGCGGGCTTAGGACCAGAAGCCCTCTCTGCCCCTGAAGCCTGGTCACACAGCCAGCCGCCAGTGGGGGGGGGCAGGAGCGGCCCCAGGGGCCCCGGGCAGGCGGGGGCCAAGGGCCTCCTGACGGGGGTGAGCCCAGAGCCTGCAGGGCCTAATGCTCAGCATCCCTCATTATTGTCGGATTGACTGGTTCATTCCACAAGGACCATATGTTACTACGCCAAGGTTGCAGCACAAGTAGCTGAGCTTTGGGGTGTGAATGCGCAGGCAGGTGCTGCTCATGGCATGGTTTCAGTATCAGTGTTAGATACACCGTCTGCTGCTGTGGGACAAATTACCCCCAGAACTTAGTCAATTAATATAAAACCATGAAACTTAGAAAAATCATAAGATAAAGTCTTTAGGAGCTAGGGCTAAGCGAAGAATTCTTAGACTTGACACCAAAGCCATGATCCAGAAAAAGCAGTTGATAAAATGAATGTTATCAAAATGAAGAACCATGTGTAGGATGGCAGGCAGGGGGGGATCCGGACCCATCCTCGTTTATAGATGAAGAAACGCAAACAGAGCAAGAGTTGCAACTTGCCTGTGGGCTTGCAAGGCAGGGGTGAAGCTGGCGGAGGCCCAGCTGGCCCTGGCACTGTGCTCGCTGAGGTCCGCAGTGGCACCGTGCACAGCAGAGGGAGCTGAAATGCCAAACCGCAGGCCGGTGGTGCTGGAACGGTTTGCCATTTTGCACAATATCTAATGTTAATTCCACTTCCATCACTGGCGGCACAGATGGTGATGGCTGTACAGGTTCAGGCTGATAACTGAGAGTGGTTATGCGGGGATAATTATAACTTATTATGCTACCTTTTTCTTGTCTGAAAGTCTTCATTTTCTCTGCTTCTAGATGGTAAAAGCAATCCAGGTTTTGCGTATTCATCTTCTTGAGCTGGAAAAGGTTAATGAACTCTGCAAAGATTTCTGCAGTCGATATATTGCTTGTCTAAAAACGAAAATGAACAGTGAAACTCTCCTGAGTGGAGAACCTGGAAGCCCGTATTCCCCTGTCCAGTCCCAGGTATTTATGTTCGGGTCCTGCGCTACTTCCTGGTTGCTGTCACGTCTGCAAGGATGAACTGTGCTGGTCCCGAGACCACAGCCCTTTCAGAGTTGCGAGGCCATCTCAGTGGCTGCCCTGCCCAAAGGCCCTCCAGATCTGACGAGCCTGGGCTGAGCGCGAGTCCCGGAGGCGGCCCCTCTGGCCTCACCCGCTGACCGCAGGGAGGCCCCGAGCTGTGCGCCGGACCCTGAGTCCCATGGTTCTGCAGTTCCATCCACTTTTTTCCTTTTTTTCATAGCATATTTTTTTTTAAATTGTAGTATACACCTATCATAAAGTTTACCCTCCTAACCGTGTTCAAGTGTGCAGTTCGGTGGCACTAAGCACATTCACATTGGTGTGCAGACGTCTCCACCATCCATTTCCAGGACTCTCCATCCTCCCACACCGAAACTGCCCTAGGGACCTTATGTAAGGGGGATCATTTGTCCTTTTGTGTCTGGCTCATTCCACTCAGGGTGATGTCCTCAGGGGTCCTGCGAACGGGAGCCCTGTTCTGTTGGAGCCATCTGACAGGCTGTAGTGACCTTCCTTGTGGTTGTAACTTGCGTCTCCCTGATGGTCAGTGGTGGTGACCGTCTTTTCATGCACTTACTTTCCATCTGTGTATCCTCTTCGGGAGAATGTCTTCTCACATCTTTTGCCCAGTTTCTAACTGGATTATTTTTAAACTGTTGTCTTTTGAGAGTAGTCTAGGTACTAGTCCTTTATTGAATATACAGTTTGCAAATATTTTCTCCACGTCTATAGCTTATTTTTTTTTTTTTTTTACTCTTCACAGGGTCTTTGGCAGAGCAAGCATTTCCCCCCAGTTATTTATTTATTTTTAATAATTTTTTAATATTTATTTTCAGAGACAGGGAGAGGGAGGGAGGAGAAGGAGGAGAGAGAAACATTGACTGGTTGCCTCTCACATGGGGACCTGGCTTGCAACCAAGGCGTGTGCTTTGATGGGGAGTCTAACCAGCGACCCGTCTCTTTGCGGGACGCCGCCCAACCCATTGAGCCTTGCCTGACAGGGCTATTTATTTATTTTTAATTTTTATTTCCCATCCATCCACCCCCTTCCCTTCTAACAACCATCAGCTTGTTCTTTATATCTGTGGATCTGTTCATGTTTTTCTTGTTGTTTATTCATTTGTTTTGCCCTTTTAGGTTCCACATATGAGTAAAATCATATGGTGTTTGTCTTTCTCCGTCTTATTTTTTACTTAGCAAAATACCCTCCAGGTCCATTCATGTTTCAGATGACAAGATCTCATTATTGTTCTCGCTGAACAAGATTCCATTGTATATATACACCCCATCTTCTTTATCCATTCAGCTATTGATGGATGCTTTGGTCGGTTCCATGTCTTGGCTATTGTAAATAATGCTACAGTGAATGTAGGGGTGACTATGTCTTTGTGAATTAGTGTTTTTCTTTTCTTGGGCTAAATATCCAGAAGTAGAGTGGCTGAGTTGTATGGCAGTTATATTTTTAATTTTTTGAGAGCCTCCATACTGTTCTCCACAGTGGCTGCACCAATTTATATTCCTGCCAACAGTGCTTGAGGGTTCCCTTTTTTCTGTACTCTGGCCAACACTTGTTGGTTAATTCATTGATGATAGTCATCTGGCAGGTGTGAGGCGATATCTCATTGTGGTTTTAATTTGCATATCCCTGATGATAGTGATGTTGAACATATTTTCATGTGTTTGTTATCCATCTGTATGTCCTCTTTAGAAAAATGTCTACTCAGGTCATCTGCCTATATTTTAATTGGATTGTGTGTGTATATGTGTGTGTGTGTATGTTAAGTTGTATGAGTTCCTTATATATTTTGGTTATTAACCCCTTAATTGGATATGGCATTTATGAATATCTTCTACTATTTTGTAGGTTGTCTTTTTGTTTTACTAATGGCTTTCTTCACTGTACAAAATCTTTTTAGTTCGATGTAGTCCCATTTGTTTATTTTTCCCATTGTTTCCCTTGCCTGAGGAGATATATCCACAAAGATATTACTAAGATCAATGTCAAGGAGTTTACTACCCATGCTTTCTTCCTGGAGTTTTATGGCTTCAAGTCTTACATCTAACTCTTTAATCCATTTTGAGATTATTTTTGTAAATGGTCTAAGTAAGTGGTCCACTTTAATTTTTTTTGCATGTTTCTGTCCAGTTTTTCCAACAACAGTTATTAAAGAGACTGTCTTTACCCTAGTGTATGTGCTTGCCTCCTTTGTTGTAGATTACTTGACTATATAAGCAAGGACTTATTTCTGGACTTGCTATTCAACATTTTTTAATACTGATAATTCCTATTTATCAACTTTTTTTTATTAGTTGTGATTTTGGTGTCAAGTCTAAGAACTCTTTGCCTAGCCCTAGGTCCCAAAAATATTCTCTTATTTTTTTCTTAAAAGTTTTATATTTTACATTTAAATCCATGATAGGTTTTAAGTTAACTTTTGTATAAAGTGTGAGGGTTTTGACGGAGGTTCCTGTTTGCCTCTAGATGTCCAGTTACTCCAGCACCGTTTGTTAAAAAGGCTCCTTCCCCCATTGAACTGTTCACGCACCTCCATCAGCCGTCAGTCAGCGTGTTTACAGGGCTACTCCTGTGGCTTGGTTCTGTCCCACTGGTCTCTGTATCTGTACTGTCTTGTCTTGGTTACTGTGGTTACTTGGTTAAATCTCAACATTGCGTAGACTGATTCCTCTCACTTTATTCTTTTTCAAAATAGTCTTTCCCAAAATATTTCAGCTATTTTTAGTTCTTTTGCCTTTTCATATAAATTTTAGAATAATCTTGTCTATATCTACAAAAATATGACTGAGATTTTGATAGGAATTGCATTAAATCTGTACGACATTTTGGGGAGAATTGACATCTTTGCTGTGTTAACGCTTCCAGCTCACAAACACGATGTGCCTCCCCGATCATTTATTCTCCTATTACTTCTTTCATTTGTGTTTTATAGTTTGCACCACGAGTCCGACATGTGTGTTTTTAGAATTATTTTTAAGTCTTTTACTTTTTTTGAGCAATTGTAAGTGGTATTATATTTTTTTAACTTCAGTGTCCATGTTATTTTATAGAAATACAGTTGGTTTTTTAATATTTATCTTGTATCCTGTGGCCTTGCTGATCTCACTTGTTAGTTCTAGAAGGTCCTTTATGTAGATTCCTCAGGATTTTTTTTACCTATGCAGCCATATCACCTCTATTACAGAACAGCTCTATTTTATCCTTCATGATCTGTTTACTTTTAATTTTCTTTTCTTGCCTTATCGGCTAGAACACCGAGTACGATCTTGAACAGGACTGGTAAGAGCAGGCATCCTTTGCTTGTTCCTGATGTGAGGGAAGGGTTCAGCCTTTCACTGTTAATTTTAATGGTAGTTTTTTTTCCCTAGATGCTCTCTATTCAGTTGAGGAAGTTCCCCTCTATTCCTATTTTTCTGAGAGTTCTCATTATGCTGAATTTTGTCAAATGCATGGATTGATATGATTCTGTGATTTTTTTCTTTTTCCTGTTAATATGGTAGATTACATTGAATTTCGGAATACTGAACACGACTCGGATGCTAGAATAAACCATACTTGGTCATGGCTTGTGATTCTTTTTAAGTGGATTCCTGAATTCTGTGTGATAACATTTTGTTAAACATTTTTGTGTCTATATTGAGGGATATTGGCCTGTAGTTCTCTTTTCCGGTGTGGTCTTAGTCTGGGTTTGGTATCAGAATAGTACAAGCTTCAGAAAACAAACTGGAGAGTATTCCCTCCTCTTCTGCTTTTTGGGAGGGATTAGAGTTGATACTACTTTTTCTCTAAATGTTGGATAGAATTCTCCAGTGACACCACCTGGATTAGAGATTTCTTTCTTTGGACTATGAATTTAATTTCCTTAGTAGTCAAAGGGCTATCCAGATTACCTACTTCAGTTGGATGTTGTCTGCTATGTCAAATTTCTTCATCAAGTTCGCGGCCTCCTTCCTCCTTCCGCCATCCACCAGGCCTGCCGTGACCTCCCTGCTGCCTTTCTGACATCAGTAACTTGTTTCTCTTTTCTTCTGTCACTATTACTAGAGGTTTACCAGTGTGTTGATCTTATCAAAGAACTTGTTCTTTTCTCACTGTTGTTTCTCTGTTTTCAGTTTCATTGTTGTCTGCTTTGATCTTTATTGTTTCCTGTCTTTTGCTTCCTTTGGTTTTGTTTTATTCCTCTTTTTTTACGTTTTTATTGTGGGAGCTGGAATTATTGATTTGAAGGCTGAGCTTCATTCTGACCGAGTTATATGTAGCCTACTTTCTGTGCACCTGCCAAAGCTTACAGAGTAAATTGCCCCTGGGGGATAGTCACTGTGCTGCTTACCTGCTCAGATACCTGGGTACCTACCTGTGTGTGCCAGACCCCGGGCTAGAAACCAGGTGTAGGGATCCCTTCCCTTACCAACCACCAATCCCGTCGTCAGTCAGTGGGTAAATTCACCCGTTTGGATCTAACGGGAGATGAGTAGACACTCCAACGTGGTGTTGATGCACATTTACGCGGAGTGTGCTGCAGGCCAGGCCCAGGCCCGGGATTCCACATGCGTGCGCACACAGAGCGGGGCCCGGGGGCGTGTGTGCTGGGATCAGGGTGGTACAGAGCTGTGCGAGCCCAGGGGGCTCCCACACCTGCGGCTCACTCTTCCAAAAGCGCTCACCCTGCCAAGGAGGCTTTGGTCTCAGAAAATCAAGAGTCTGAGCCAAAGCAAATGGAGAGGGTGCCTGATGAGATCAGGTGATTTTGGTCTCCCCGGTCATAACCTGCAGGGCTGTAAGGTGTGGTTAATAGGTGATGGCATGAAAGATACTCTTTTGGAAGCCAAATTGAAACTCATATCTTAGTATTGATCATCATGCCTAATTTCAGTCAGTCTTGCCTCTCTTGGTTTCCAGATGTATAGGGCCTGCCTCGTTGAGGGCTTGCCATCTGATTGTGCTCTTTGCCTCAAGTGTCTCCTTTATTAACGATGCTGGTATGCCCCTTGTTTGGAAGTTTTTGACATGGGTGTTCGGTTTCCTAATTGTCCCCTCCCCGTGTGTTTCTGACTTACAGCAGATTCAAAGTGCCATCACAGGCACTCTCAGCCCGCAAGGAATTGTGGTCCCCGCATCTGCGCTGCAACAGGGGAACGTAACCATGGCAACGGTGGCAGGTATGGCGATGGCTCAAAGGACACCTTTCTTTGAGTTAGTGCAGAAAAAGTCCTTCATAGTACAATGGAGATATACATAAGTGTAACTTTTAATTAATTCCAGTTTCCTAATAGGAGTCCCAAAATCTAGACTTCTTTGAATGCCTGTTTCTTGTTAATTCTCAATGACAGATAGTTTATACATACTGTGTTTTCTTACCAAAAAATGTTGGGAAGAAAGTTTTTATATAGGAGTTGAAACTTTATAGCAAAAAACCAATTGTAATTTTCAAATAGCGGTTTTTAATTTTTCTCTTAGCAGCACCTGGAAGATCTTAAATTGTGTCATTAATTGATGACAAGCCAATAAAAGTGCAGTCTTAGTCTTGGTTTAACTTCTATAATAAAAGCCATCGCAGGAGGGGGACAGATTCTTGAATTCTGCAGTGCACCTAGAACATTGCAAGCCCAAGATCATCATGAAAATGTAAGGAGCGGGAGAAGTTTACACTAAAAAAACCCATGTGACAGTACAAAGGGAAGCCTCCACAGGAAAACAAAGAACACTTGATCAAAAAGAGAACTATTATAAAACTACTTGTCATCTGATGCCTTTGGCCAAGTCCTTTGATGTACGCTAATTGTGGAGAAACGTAGAAAATGTAGGGGAGCACAAGCCACGGAAGTGCGGACCTCCTGAGCTGGCCGCGCCCTGTGCGCCACCTGTGAAGACCGCAGGGATGTCTGTCAGCATAGTGTCACCTGGGCACTGCATGTGCTGTCAGTTTGTTTTGGTAATTTACAGTGACAAGTTGGCTAGCAAAGTGTCGATCATTTGAAATGATGTAAAAAGCTCATCAGCGCTGGCCAGTCTGGCTGAGGTGATTGGAGCATCATCCCATAACCAAAAGGTTGCAGGTTCGATTCCCGGTCAGGGCACATAACTAGGTTTCAGGTTCTATCCCCAGTCCAGATGCGTGCAATTCCTAGTCCAGGTGTGTATGGGAGGCAATCTGTCAATGCTTCTCTCTCACATCGATGTTTCTCTCTCTCTCTCCTTCCTCTCTCTAAAAACAATGGGGAAAGCATGTCCTTGGGTGAGGATAAAAAAAAAGTTCATCAAATGAGAGGTTTTATTCATTTCATAGTATAGTGAGAAGATTGGTTTTAAATCGTTGAGACTTAAATGTGATTTTTTTTTCTTCTTCCTTTTTGAGGTGGCACAGTTTATCAGCCTGTCACAGTTGTCACCCCTCAAGGCCAGGTAGTGACACAGGCGCTGTCACCTGGAACGATCAGGATCCAGAACTCCCAGGTGTGTGTGCCAGTCCCTTGGCAGGATTGGGAGGCGGGGGCGGGGTGCGCGTCATGCAGGCGCGGGGGTGCAGGGGCGGGGGCGGGCGCTGCAGCCCTTCTGTCTGGGCGGAGGCACCCAGCTCGGGCTCGCTCCCATGCAGCACCTGCAGCACCCTCCAGTTAACCTGGACCTCAGTATTTTGTTTCTTTTTTACTCTTCATCTCTCTAATTGTAAAACTGTTGCAAAGGTCAGAAAAGTCTAAGGAAGCAGGAAAAAAGTCACCCATCATCCTTCCCCTCAAGGAACCACCCTTGTCCAGTTTAACGGTGGCTTGCGAGGGTGTCTCTGAACAGGTGTCTCTGAACCAGGAGCCTTGAGGCCACACAGCCGCACTCCCCTCCATCCCCCGGTCACAGTAGGTCCTCAGACAGATTTTCGGCCCATGCCTCCAGCGCTAGGGCTTTGGCCTGCACACTCTGAAAGGCTTTCCGCGGCCTCCCTGGCACGCTCCTGCTGAGTCAGAGCCGGGCTTCAGGCTGTCCGGGGCACTTGCTTAATGCCCCGCCACACCCTGGGGAGAGGCCCGAGGAGGGCTCCCCCTCGCCCTCTGCACGCCGCCCGCCGGGGCCCTGCTTCAGGAAGGCTGGCCTGCCTCCCTCCCGTGGCCCGCCAGCTCCCAGAGCACGGGGGCGGCTCCGAGGGCAGGAGCGACAGAGCTGAAGGTGCAGTGACGTGCTGCGACCTAAGGACAGTCCTATCCTCTCTGTGTCTTTGGCCAAATGCGATTGGACTTGGTGGTCCCCCAGACCCCTCTGAGTGCTGGACAGGCTACACACTTTTGCATTCAGCTGGGTCTAAATCAGAGGGACCGGGTTTCTGTTATCTGTTCTCACTTAAGAGCATTGATTCCTTCTGTGTGTTATTTCCTTGTCTTTGGCTGCACAGATGTTTTCGACATTCTTCACCACTTTGAGGCCCTGCCTTGTGGGGGTGGGTGTTTTCCTGCATCAGGTGGCACATTCAAGGGGGCCTGGGGTGTGTGTGGGCCCTACAACCAGTCCGGACTTCCTCCCTTTGACCTCATGGAAGATTTCGTTGGACAAAGTCACATTGGGACTGGTCAGGGCTCAGTGATTGTGAGGCCTCAGAGGCCATCTGGGCACACACAGCCTGGGACACTAGGTAGCTTCCCAGAGCCAGCAAACGGGGTTTGGGGTCGGGGAGGAGCTGGGCCCACCCATGCTGGCCCTGGGTCCCTGACCACCTGCTTCCCCGGGAATTCCCCATTTATAATGGCTGCGAACGTGAAGCAGGGCCTAGTGTGCCGTGTTACCTAGTACTAAAGTGAGCTCTTCTTTGAGGACAGCGTTTTAATCAAACGCCTTTCTTATATACTAGAGGTTCGTTCATCCTGCTGTTTGAGAGAAGTTTTCTAATTCAATGAATTTTCTTACAGACGATAAATTACTGCTTTAAATAGCAAATATACAGAGTTTGAATTATTTCAGTAAAACACTTTGTCGTGTCTATCTTGGGGCGACTCCCCAGAGCCATCGAGCAGGCCCCTGAGGAGCACAGCCGCCTCGCCTCTGCCTGTGAGCTGCCCCTGCCGTGGCCCCCGGCGGCCCCCTGCGCCCTTGTCCTCACCTGCCTTATCTGCCCTGTTGTGATTGTTTCCAGCGTGGCCAGGCTGGGAAGCCAGAGAGAAGAGCTGCTTGGGCTTCTAACGGGAGAGGAAAGAGACCCGACTGTGGGTCTTGGTGGGGCGATCGTTGACTAAAACCTGGGCGTTAACACAGGGTCCGGCAGAAGGCCGGCCTGCTGGAGTGTGGTTGGTAGGGTAATAATACGGTGTAAGAGGTTATAGTTTTAATTTGAGCATTTCACCTGAAATGTCATATGGTGTGCTTGCATGCAATATCGTTATGTTACAGAATTACATGCTTATGATTTTGTAAGAAAAAAGGGGCATTACTTGTGCCAGACCCTGTATATGGTTCTATCACAGCTCTTTGGGCTGCTTTGGGCTATTTTTTCCCTTCTTTTTTGGCTAACATTTGGGCTCTCGTGCTTCAGATACTTAGGTGGGGAACGTACCCGTGGGAGTTTTCGTGCTGTGCCAGAAACCCCCAGGGCTGGCTTTGTCCGGAGACTTGGGGGCTGTCACGGCTCCTGTTGTCACTCTGGGGGTCGGCACCGCTCCTGGAGGACCTCAGCAGACGGCGGTGCGGTGGCAGTCCTGGGTGTGCCCCTGCCGCCCCGTCCCGCCTCAGGACAAGTCCCGGCCCGGGGTGGAGCTGGGCTGCGGGCACGCCGCGGGGGATGTTAGCCCAGCATCGCCCAGCTCCCTAGGAAGAGACCGGCGCCGTGGGGCGCCATCCGGCCAGCGCCGGTGAGAGAAGGGCGCGGGGTTCGGATTCTGTTCTACAGCATTTCTACGGAAAAGTCTTTAGTTGTACTTCTAGTGCGAACCCATTTAAAAACACTTTTTGAGAAAAGGAGAGGTAAGGGGGGCGAGGGGTGAGATTGCATTAACCTTCCCCCCTCCCCTCCCCTCCCCTTAGCAGTGTCACAGCCGTAATCACGCCGCTCTGTGTTGTCTCTGTCAGTGGCACAGCGCTGAAGAGCTCCTAACAGATGACAGCAATCCCTGCCCCACCCTCTGGGCCCCCAGCCCCGCCCCCCAGTGCCGCCCCCCAGGCTGCACAGGCAACCCCTGTCAGCTCTTCAGCCACTTCTGTTTCTCCCTCGGTGTTTGTAAATAAAGACCTTCTCTCTTAATGCACCCCTTAAAACATCTAGGTTTGGCTTTTCGTCATGCGTTCACGGAGCCTGTACTCTCCTGTCCCCTCCCGTGCCGTGTCTCCGCGTGTGTCCTCCCCACTCATTCCGAGTGCGGTGTGGCCATGTCTGTCTGAGTGTGAGCGTCATCATGCCGGTACTGGCCTCTGCCGAGCGCTGTGTGTGGCCGTGGTGACGGCGCCTTTCCAGTTCCCATGTCTGCTTCTGCCCGAATTAGTCGCTGCTAGATGATTTTCCCCTTCTCCCGATGTCCCTGTCCAGTGGCTCAGTCCTCCAGTGTTTCCAGTGGTTCCCGCGCCCCCGCCCTGCGTGTCACATCCGGGCCAGCATCGTCCAGCAGCCCTCGGCCCTGCTGTCTCCGATGGCCTGGCCACTCTGCCCAGGCCCCACATAGGCATGTCCTTGGACTTGCCTTTGACCTCACCCCGAGGGTTCCCTTCCTCGGAGCCCCCGTTTCCTGCTTTCTCAGCTTTACTGCCCCCTCTGAAAGCTTCGGGAGGAGATGTGCCCGGAAAGTACCTTGTGCTGGGAGGTGATTTGGTCCCGTGCTTGACAGGCTGTCCGGAGCAGTGCGGCTCCAGGTGAGACGTGCCCCCTGGAGGCGGGACGGCATCCACCCACCCAAGGGCGTCAGTGCCGCGCCGCCTCCGACAGGGTGGCTGTCAGCTCTGGCTTCTCCTCCTGCTTGCCCCGCTTTGGGATGCTTCTCCGCGCACAGCGGTTTTGCTGAGCGCTGCTGAAGGACCTCGCAGTTTTTGCTCTGGGACATTTCCGTGAACTCTCGGGGACAGCACCCTCCCACCACCCCGCCCGCAGCAGGCACATCCTTTTCTGGGGCCCTCGAGCTGACCATCAGCCGCTCTGAGCCAGCCGTCTCTAGGCGTCTGTGCGTTTTTGTGTATGTGTTCCCATTGCCAACTGTTTGCCTACTTTCTGAGAGATTTTCTTTTATCTTCCAACCCCTCTGTAAAGTTTAAAATTTTCAGCATAGTTTTAATTTCTAATACTCTTTTTGCCCTCTCTTCATCCTATTTTTAGTTCATGGTGGTTGAAGTTTTTTTTGATTTCTGCATTCTTTCCATTTTCTCTGCATCTCAGAATTTATTCACTTTGGTGTCTGCTTTTTGTGATGGAGGCTTTCAAGTGTTTGGGGACACTTGGCTGCCCTTTGAAATGCAGACAGCAAGCTCTTTGCTGCTGGTCGAGTGCTGGGGGGGCGGGGCAGGAGGGCTTTCCTGCTGGGCTGGCTGACTCCACAGTCCTTTCTCCCTCAGTTTCTCAGGAGGGTCTCTGAGCTCGGCCTGGGCAGAGGCAAGGTGGCGGGCCAGGAGCTGGCCAGCTTGTGGGGGGGTCTCCATTTCATGTGCAGACCCTCTTCTCCCCTCTTCCTAGCCCTGCCCCTCGTTTCCACCCTCCGGCTGTGTGCATGTGCCGAGTCTGTAGCCTCTGCTGTTTCTTTGGGGGGAAACCCCACATTTCCTGCGGAGGAGGGGGCAGAAAAGTCATCTACAGAGAATGATGAGGGAGAATTGGGGGTTTCACTGCTTCTTAAATGGACTTACAGCCAGAATTCCCGGCTCTGTTGCCCCTGCCTTGTCTAGTTCCGGGCTTTGCTGGAGCCCAGTTGGAGCTAAAGGGCCCTCACTTGCTTCCTGTCTCCACTTGGTTTGCACTCCCAGGCTTTCCGCGGGCACCCTCAAAGTGGGGTCACGGGCCCTCCGGTCCTCACTGCACTGACTTATGAGCCCACAGTTGCTTTAATCCTGCGCGCGCGCAACACTGAAGCACATGTCAAGTTTCGCGAAGAATGTCATACATTAAATGTATGGGGCAGACAAGCTAAATTTTGGCCCTGGTGCTTTGGAATCAGTTTCAAAGTTCATTTTTCCATTCTTTTCCTTGTACATGAACAAGAGCATACAGGCTGTGCTTAAAACCATTTACTTTCAGTCCTTTAACAAACAATACATTCCAAAAACAACTATGCCCTTAGTAATAATCTTGAACTTTAAGATATTTTAGATATGATTAGTGTTCTTAATGTTTCCTTCAAGCCATGAATTTTATGTCTGTTTAGATGATGGCATTCAAGCTTTGTTAGAATATGTCAAAAGTGATGTAAATCCAGAGGAAGTACAAATAATATAGTGAAAACCTCTCCAAATTGAACTTGCAAATCCTTCAATCTACGTTCACGAGTTATGCTGTACTGAAATCAGCGTACAGAAGGTGATGTTCGTTGGTCACGTTAGATGCGCTTGTAACAGAATAACAGCAGGAGGAACAGCAGGGGGGCCCATGCGTTTGCGCTGGGGCCTCAGGAGACAGTGCCACAGACCCTGGAACAGCGTGGGTTTGCATTCACGTGCGGGCCGTGTAAGGGGACCCGCACAGTTCATGCTGGTGTCTTCAAGGGACCACTTTGACGCCGTCCCTGTGGGCGCCCCGGGAGCGAGAGGCTGCGCTGGGGCCTGAGCAGGGCCGGTAACACCAAGTCCTGTCTCAGGTTTGCGTGAGACACTTACCTGAGAGATGCTGTGCACGTCCTTCCCGGTCGAACTGGAACTGCCGAAAGCGTCCCTGCTTTTCTCGGGTGAGGGAGGCTGGGCTCACGGTGGCTGCCGAGGCCCCCGTGGAGCCGCTCCTCCGCCTCCGCCCTGGGATCCCTTGGTCGGCACCCTGTGTGCTGCCGTTCCCGTCCCCCCTGTTCAGCTGGCGCTCCTCTTCGGACTAGGGGCCCTTTCAGCTTCCCTGTCCATTCTCAGCGGTTGCTTGAAAGCTCTTTCGGGCTAGGAACTCGAGTGTTAGCACATCCGTGCCTAGAGGAAGCAAGATGGTGCATAAGAGACGTGGGTCTCACCTGTCTGAAGGTGAACAACTCGGGGGCCTTCTCAGCATCCATCCCGCCTGCCTTGCCAGGCAAGGGGCCTCTGCCCAGCTGAGACACTATAGTGTACATAGTCACAAGGCGGGGGGACCAGAGCCCAAAGTTGGCGCATGTGCCCCTGCTCTAAATGTCATTTATTGCTAAGATCCGTGGTTTTCTTCTCTATCAGAAGTCGTGAACTGCTTGGATGTGTCATAATTTTCTTTGCTTTCTAACATTCTTTTTCAATTGTTTAACAGCTTCAGCTACAGTTAAACCAAGATTTGGGCATCTTGCATCAAGACGATGGCTCCTCTAAGAACAAGAGGGGAGTTCTGCCGAAGCACGCCACCAGCGTGATGCGTTCCTGGCTCTTCCAGCACATAGGGGTAGGCATGCGGCGGCCTCGTGGTTAGCGGCACCCTCCGCGAGGCTGGCTTCCTGGTGGTTTTCTAGGAAGAAGTTGCCTGTGTGTGCTGTGTATGTAAAACCAGGGTAGTAGGCCAGGTTTTAAGTATCTGTATTTTGTTAACTGTCCCTGTGGGTTCAGCGTGGACAAAAGGGAAGGTTACCAAAAGATGGAGGACATCACTTCAAGGAACTTAAATGAAATGAGGGGGACCCCTGGTGGGAAGGGGTCAGTTCAGCCCATGTTCGTCGTGCGTGTGCCGTGGGAGAATGGACTCGTGAAGGGTGGCGGGGGAGGCGAGGGGATCAGAGTGCGCGGGGAACGGGTGCATTTGGGCAAAACCTTGGACCACAGTGATGATTCGTATATTGGATTTTTAAGGAAGATGTGCCTGAACACCCCAGGATCGAGCTGGAGAGAGTTGGCCATGTGGACAGAGGGGTCGGCAGGTGGCTTGCTGCACTTGAGATGCAGTTGGTCCAGGAGGCAGCAGCATCTCGGCCCCCATTCTGTCCGGGCGCCCGGTTTCCTCCCCACAGTTGTGGCCGCGTCTTTTCTGTGATGTCTTCTGTCTTGGGAAGCGCACGCCTGTCACTGTGTTTAATGGGACACTCACTCATGACCAGGCTAAGTCGCTCAGCCCTCACCCCCCTGACCATAGGGAAGGTCTGTGATCCAGAGCAGCTTTCAGGGGTGACTCCCCGTGTAGCGCCAGGGTCAGGACCGACCGCGGTGGCTATCAGAGCAGCGGGTGGGGACAGCGGCAAGAAGGTGGATGCTCCCTGCTGCCTGCTCCCTCAGCAGCACCGGCCCGGGCTGTCCCCGAGAGCCGGACTGGCCCCAGATCCGCCCCTTCACGTCGCTGCCGTTGTGACCCACTTGTGTCTTCAGTTGCTGGCCAATTCCTCGCCAGCCCATCTTCTTTGTCTCCGTCCTGGTGCTGTTGCTGTCGGTGGAGGTGGCCGTCGGGCCCGTGTCCCCTCATGCCCTTCCTCTGCCTTCCCCTGTCACCTTGGCATCTGCCTCCACCCTTGCCTGACTGTGAACCCCAAGTCCAGCACCCGCTCTCAGTCGTCTCCCTCTGGGTTAGGCCCTTGTCACTGTTTCACGCCCCACTGCCCTCTGACCGGCATTGGGCCCCTTCCCTGTCGTGGAGCAGTCCTGGGAGGAGGGGGCGCCTCCCTTCCTGAGGCGAAGGCCCTGAAGGCGCCGAGGCCGCCCCCGCAAGCGTGCTCTCTCCTCTCCGGTGCTTGCTCTCCGCCAGGCCATCCCGCCAGCAGCATGTGGCGGCAGGTGTCAGGGGAAGGAACAGAGCAGCCCTGTCTAGAAACTTGTCCTAAAAAGATTCACAAGCAAATGAAAGATTTTATGGAAAAATGGTACAGTGATATCCATTATGCTAATGGGACATGAGTTAGTACGTGAATTAGAACCTGTCGATTTGATGGACTGTTATTGTCCAGCTAGTTAGCGTGATGAACAGAGGCTGTGAACACTTGGACACTTCAGATAAGTGAAAAAGAAGATGTTTTTAAATATATCGTGATTGTTACAACAAATAAATATAATTGTGATGTAATGTTAGAATACACACAAGTAAGTGGTGGGATTGGTTTTCTGTTCAGTTTCCTTTGATGTACTAATAATTTCTAAAACGATAACCCTACACATTGGTTCAATTAAAATACCACTTTTTTCTTCTGAGAAGCCATACGCTCATCCCCAGAATCAAATTGAGTCACTGCTGGTCAGGTTAAGGGAACAGAGAAACTGCTGCTGAGGTCCTTCTGCTGCTGGTCCATTGTCACCATCGTGCACGGTGACTTCTCCGATACCCTGAGTGCTCACTTAAAGTAAAAACTAACACCCACCCCTGACTTCATTGGTGCCATTCACTCTCTGGGGTCCTGGTTGGTCCAAAATAAGAGATTTCCGTATATGTAGGTTTTAGAGTAAATGTCTTGTTGGGTTCTACACATGGACAGTGATCAGTCTTGGAGAAATTTTTCATTACCATAAATAGAAATCACTTTCCTTTGGTACTTCTGTGAATTTTGAAAATTACTTCTGTTTTAATTATTTTTTTTTAAAGTGAAATGTCTTATACATAAAAGAAAGAGGAATGTAACAGACGCACCCACCACGTTCAGGCTCATTGTCAACAGCACACTTGGTAACCTGGCAGAGGCTGTGCCTGAAAAGCCCAGGAGGATGGCAGTGCCTCCCACGTGGTTTCTCCTCAAGGCCCCGGGTAGAGCCCACCCTGAAGTGACAGCCTGGAGTGGCCTGCGGGCCCTTTCCTGCCACCCTGTGTGCCAGCCGCGGGGACGGGGCGCTTGCGAACTCCATGCCTCAGCCCCTCCTCTGTGAAGTCACAGGGACGGCGGTGTCTGGCTCAGAGGTGGTCCTGAGGAACCCATGCACTCCTCCGAGGGGTGCAGAGGTGACAGAGATGTGCTGTCCCCGCCGTGCCCGCTGTGCCCGAGATTTCACGAGGCCAAACCCCACCTTTACCCGCTTTAAACGGGTGCAGTTTATCGTTCATAAATTATTCCTCAGTCGAGTTGATGCAAAAACTACAGATGTACCAGGGGCTTAGAACAGCACCTGGGGGGACAGACAGGACTTGGCGGCGTTAGCATTGTCGCCTCACAGCCTCAGACCGTGTGACCTCCATGGCCTGGGCTGCAGCCAGTTGCTGCCGCTGCACTGGGCACACCCAGGCGGCCAGGGGAAATGTTTCGTTCTGTGTGTGGCGTTTTCTAAGAAAACTGTGAGACGAAAGTTAGGTTTTAACTGAAGGTGGTATTGATTGATGCTTGTCCGTTATTTACAAATGATTATTTGTTTGCCCGTATTTTACCTAGAAAATCCTTAGTTCCTTTTTAAAAAACTGAAATTCATGGGGACCGCTCTTTCTGTTTTTAGCATCCCTACCCGACAGAAGATGAGAAAAAACAGATTGCTGCTCAGACAAATTTGACACTACTCCAAGTTAACAACTGGTAAGACACACCCACTCTCTGAAATTGTGCCTGTCAGCATCACAGAACACTTGAAAACACTGACATTAATAATTAGTAAAATTTGGTTGAACATACGAGTTCTTTTAACTAGCAGTACTGCTATCTCAGTGCTGGAACTGGTGGCAGATACTTAAGAATAAACCAGCGCGCACTTCCAGCTCACATTTTTCATGATGAGCGCCTCACCGTGAGCCTTGGCGTACGTCCTGCCTGCTTGCCCGATTACAAGGGTGTTTCTCTATTGCGTTCCTACCCCCGAGCCCCTGCGTTCACTGAGAGATGTGATGTTTTCCTGGCTGAGCTGCGGGCAGTGGGCAGCCGAGATGAGGTGTCCTGACCCCCGGTGGCCCCTCGGTAGCCCTTCCACCCTCAAAACCTTGTGTCCCTTTGTCAGCTGTAACTGGGGGTGGCAGTTCCTCCACCGTCCTGCCCCACAGCAGGGCCTGGGGGTGGGGCCTAGGGGGTGATGCCCAGGGTGGCAGTTACTTTGTTAGTGAGGCATCCTGCTCTGGCTCTGTGTCATGTGTGACTGGGGCGCCTGCACCCTGACCGCGTGTTCTCCCTCCAGTGAGAGCTGTTCACGCTGTACGTGGCGCCAGGGTCTGGGGGGCACTCAGGTTTGGTCCGTCAGCCCTTCGTCTCAGGTTTATTTACTTACTATTCAGACACAGGAAGTGATTTCCGCTTAATCAAACGGGCATGTAGGAAAGGAAAGAAAAGAAAAGAAAGCACAAATTCTAGCACGTGTAAAATGGTTATATTCTTATTCTAACTGTTAAAACTGAAACTCAAAGGTCTGTTAAGTTCCAATATGGTGATAAAATCTTCCAATGTATGCAGTTAAATATGCAGGAGGTATGCTTGTGCATTGCATTAAATATTTCTATTACCCCACATTTGAGCCCTTCCTTTTTGAGGGGGTAGTTAGCAGTAATAGGCCATACTATATGGATTGTTCCTTGCTAAATATTTTAAGCAGAAATCTAAAGGCTTCGAGTACATTGTCGCTCTGGTGTTTGCAATGTCTCGCGTGTCCTCGGCTGTTTCCGTTCAGTCTGGCGCTGGAGACTCCTGTTTGACGCAGCCCTGACGGTGCCCGGCTGGTTGGGACAAAGGGCCGACACGAAGGCCTTCTGTGAATGCGCTGAGGCTTTGTCACCACTCGCTCGGGCCTCTCCTTCCTGTCCTTTGTTGACTTCCTCATGCTCCCTAACTTGCTGCTCTGTGGTGCTCACAGAGTTGTCTTATCCAGAAGGCTTAACATCAGCTTTTAATTTTTAAAAGTGCTAACAGGCTAATGACATGACTTTTGTAAATTTTAAAATTGTTTGAATATTTTCATTATTAGTTGTAGCCACTTTTACCCTTTGTGACTTTTTCTTTACTTTTTTTTATAGTCACAAAAATTACATCATGGACTGAGATTGAACATGCCCACAATTAGCTTATGCCTCTGCCCCGTAGCAGCTTTGACTGAGGATAAAGAAGCAGGTCCCGGCAGGCAGCAGCGGGCCTCCCTCCAGGGCGCCGCCGGCGGCGGGGACTGCAGGGCTGCCGAGAGGTCTTCTCATGCTAGGGCTACAGGGACTGAAGGCTGGCGCTGAGGGAAGCTCCATGGCGCTGTCTATTCATTTACATTATTAGAATGTGTCCAAATGCAGTTTTACATGTTCTTGAGTCTTAGGATTTTATTTTATTTTTTTAATCCTCACCCAAGGACACGCTTATTGATTTTAGAGAGAGAAACATCCATCTGCCTCCCGTACATGCCCTGACTGGGGATTGAACCTGCAACCTACATATGTGCCCTGACCAGAAACAAACCCACAACCTTTCAAGGGTTTATGGGTCAATGTTCCAACCACCTGAGCACCCAGACAGGGCAAATCTTAGGGTTTTAAAATTAAGCAACCTTAGTCTGGTCAAGATGCAGGCATAGGTAAACATGGCTTGCCGCCTCACACAAGCACAGCAAAATTACAACTAAAATACAGAACACTCAGAACTACCAGAAAATCAAGCTGTAGGGAAGTCTGACTAAGGAATTAAAGAAACCACGTTCATCCAAACAGGTGGGAGGGACAGAGGGACAGAGGTGCGGAAACCTGGAAGTGATGAAAAGCAGGGACCGACAGCCAAGATTGCTCTACCCAGCAAATATATCACATAGAATCAAGGGGCAGATAAAGAGCTTCCCAGACCAGGAGCTCATCATCACTAAACCATTATCATCTGAAAGGTTAAAGGGACTTAAGAAAAAGATGATCAAAACTATGAACAATAAAATGGCAAAAATACGTATCAACAATTGAATCTTAAAAACATACTAAGCAAACAAGAAGAACAGAAACAGAATCATGGATACGGAGAGTGTTTTGATGGCTGTCAGATGGGAGGGGCGTGGGGAATGGATGAAGGGGTGAGGGGGTAAGAAGTACACATAGGCAGTTACGGAACAGCCATGGGGATGGAAAGTACAACATAAGGAAATGGAGCAGCCAAAGAACTTAGACGCACGGCCCATGGATGCGAACAAGGTGTGGGGGTGGCCTGAGGGGGAGGCGGGCGCTGGGTGGAGGGAGGCAAAGGGGGGAAGTCAGAACAACTGTAATTGCTTAATCAATAAAATATAACATTAAAAAACGAGCACTAGCCCTTCACTTGGAAATGCCCTTTGAAAAGCCCGGTGGTCAGGGCTGGAGTCCGGCCCTGAGAGCTCAGGCCTCAGCCACACTCAGTGCCACCCAGGCAGGGCAGGGGTGGAGGTGCATGGCCTTCGGCTGCAGGGGACACAGCTTTGCTGCTTTATCCTCTTTCTCCCTTAGAAAAAATAATGTCACATTCACACCTTGGACAGTGACATTGGTGTCATAATGAATATCAACTTCACAGATGTGGGCTTAATCAGTTACAGTGAAAAAAAGGTTGACATGGAGGAGTTGGTCTTGATTCAGACGAGTCATTTGAAAAGCCGCTCGCCCTGCATGTTTGGACGCTTAGATAACACGCTCCTCGCTCTGAACCCCTGTTGTGAGAGGGCAGATGAGCTGTTCTGATCGTGTCCATGCTGCTCTGAAAGCAGCTTGTCCCGGAAGCACTCTGTTGCTCCTCCAGGGTCTCTAAAAAGGCCGTTCTGATGGACGTTCTTCCCTTGTCGACCTCCATGCTCAGGTTCATCAATGCGAGGAGACGAATTCTTCAGCCAATGTTGGATTCCAGTTGTTCAGAAACCCCCAAAACAAAGAAGAAAACTGCTCAGAACAGACCAGTGCAGAGGTTTTGGCCCGACTCCATTGCGTCGGGAGTCGCCCAGCCACCGCCCAGTGAGCTCGCCATGTCAGAAGGTACGGGGCCCAGGGCACTTGCGGGTGACTCTGCAGGGTGGGTGGTGAGCCCTAAGCACCATCACTTCCTGTGAATTTAGGGAACATGAACCGAGGCGTGTGCAGTTGTCTGTATCTGTGTCTGAAATGGGAGGAAGCGACATCCTGTGTGTTCAGGGACTGAGAGGAAACTCACAACACATGAAACGTGACCCACACACCGAGACCCAGCATCAACAGTGTGTTCTATGTCCTTTCGTCTTTCTTTTCCCTCGCACTTGGGCAGAAGATGGCATTGTCACCTCCTCACCACCTGGCACTGCGCCCTCTTTGCCCTTTTAGTGCCCTTGGCCCTTGTCTTGCTCTTATTTGTCCCTTTTGACCCCTTGCCCCTCTCTGATGTGTTAATGCACCTGTCTGTTTCATATGCGTGTGTTTTTAAATGTGTATGATGGTATTATCATCTCATTCTTACTTTTTCATTCTCCTTTTTTTCAGTCAGCAGCATAACTGTTATAAATTAAGAAACTTTGGGCCATTGTTTTTTCAAATATATTTTCTCCCCCTGCCCTCCAGGGACCCTGTTGCCTGCCTATTCGGAGGTTAAAAGTCATGGTGTTGTGGGCACCTTTTTAGGTTTCGGATTATTTTTCTCTGTGTCACTGTGGATCATTTCTCTTCCTACCTGTGAGCTTTACCAGTCTTTCTTCTGCCGTGTTTAGTCTTCCTCTAGTCCCATCCAGTGTGCTCTTGGTGTTAGATGTTGTCATTTCTGCCTCCAGCAGTTCTCTGTGAGTTTTTCTGTCTCTCATGGGTCTGCCTGAGTTTCGAACCCACAGAGTACAGTTGTAATTACTTCTTGATGCCGTTCTCTGCTGAGTCCATCCTCTGTCTGTTCTGGGTCTCGCTTTGGTGATTGAGTCTTGTTCCCAGTGGGGCTCAGTCTCAGGCCGATCGCCCCCCACAGTCGTACAACACCTTGGAGTGCTCCCACAGTGTCCCATGTAGCGGGTGTGTCCACTCTGGCTCCTGAGCCCTGGATACTGCTCTGTGCTCTTAGGGGTGCTTGCCCCAGCCCCGGTTCATTTCCCTGCGCGCACAGGCCGTCTGCCCTCCGCCCGGTGCTCACGGCATCCCACAGCCGCGGGTGGGCTCGGGACCGCCCCTCACAGTGTATTCCTCAGGCTTGTTTTGTTCCATTTAACTCCTCCTGACTTGCGGCGTGTGCGGGTACACCTTTGGCTTCAGCATGTGCGTTTTGATATGCAGCGATCCTACATTCATGTTCAAATAATTTATATTTTCAGTTTTTATTTCTCTTTCAATCCAATACTTAGAAAGGTATTTTCTCTCTCTCCCTCTCCTCCCCTTCAGAAAAGGCAGTGCCTGTCTATTGCGGGAGAAGTTCAAATGAGACTATCCACTGAAAACAAACCTCCCCTCCATCCGGGAGTCTCGTCTCCTCCAGAGACGACCCTTATTTCCAGTTCCCTGTACGTGTTCCCAGTGCGCACGAGATAGGGTGTCCTGTCACAGGCAGGAATGGACAGGCCTCTCTTCCCGAATTTAACACACACAGTGATGTCTCCTTTTGCTCTCACCACTTGCTCATCCACTGGAGACTTTTACGGGTGAGCATGTGAGATGCCCCGTAGTTCCCAGGACGGATGGATCAGCACATCCCAGGTTTTCTTTCTCTCTCGCCTTCCAAGCTGGTCTCCTCACTCCGACCTCATGCCCCTTTGCTTTGTTTCCCGTTATGTCTGTGTGGGCCCTTCTTCTGTCCTCTGGTCTCCTTTGTTCTTCTCGTGGCACTGTTTCCACCCTGCCCCCGAGACCTTCAGCAGGGCCTGAGGCCCATTCCGGAGACAGTGTCCTAAATCCCTGTGCGCGTCCCAGAAACACCCAGGGTTCTTCTCGGCAGGTCAGATAGGCAGACTGCGCCCACTGGGTGACGCGTTTGCCTCTGCTGGGCACTAACTTGAGCAGTGACCGCTGCGCTCTGCTTGTCTGCCATAGGAGCTGTTGTGACGATCACCACACCCGTGAGCATGAATGTGGACAGCCTCCAGTCTCTGTCCTCGGACGGCGCCACCCTGGCCGTGCAGCAGGTCATGATGGCGGAGCAGAGCGAGGACGAGTCCGTGGACAGCCCGGGGGCAGGTGGGGCTGCGCTCACCCCCGCCCACATCAGCGGGCTGGTCCTGGAGAACAGCGACTCCCTGCAGTAGGGCCGCGGCCGGGACGGCGGCCGGGACCCAGGGGGCGCCAGGACCCAGGGCAGCGGGCTGGCTTTTTATAGTTTGCACAGCAAACATTTTCCACAGTTTTATTTCTGACCTGTTTTATATGTAGATATAGAAGAGTGCACTTTTGTATTTCATAGCAAGCTTCAGGGGCGTCTGTGCCGGTGCGGCGACTTCTTTCAAGTGTGTGTGCGTGCGTGCGTGTGGGTTTTCAAGGAAAGTCTTTAAAGGTATAACGCTAAACATGTGATGAATGACAGACACCCCCCTGAGCCCCTAATTAGGTTAAAGATCAGTGCTGCCATTTTGTAAAAAATTATGCAGTTTTAATGAGTTCTGTGGTTAAAGCAGGTCTCGTGGGCCGACTTATCTATGTAGCCCACGGGTTTGGAAGAAGCTTCTGCACCTTCAAGCCGCCAGTGCAGGGCGGACAGGACACGACAATAAACTGGTGTGACTCCGTGGTGAATGGACGGCGACCTAAGACCTTCGAGTTCTCTCATGGCCAGTGAGCCTGTTTCGTTTGCTATATATAAAAAGAAACTCCTATTTTTACCTTGCTGGAATTATTGGATAAAAAGCTATTTTTATAAATTCGTTATGAATTGGATTATGACTATATTGAGGGTAAAATTTCTAGTGAAGAAACCACACATGCTTACTATTTCAATTTGGAGTGTTACGAATTGACCAAATTTAATGAACCTGCCCCGAGATAGCTAGGGTAGCAATTTACATTTACTACTATAAAAGAAACAACTATTTAATGAAATTTTGATATCTTCAAATTTTAGTTTATACGTAAATGCTCAGATTGCATTTTCCACTTAATCTAAACATATATCTAAAGGTATTTGCTAAATAGGACTTAGTTAAGTGAAATGATAGCCAGTAATTAGTTAAAGCTCTTACCATGCATATTTCAGCCTAATTTAAATTTGACTGCAGTTAAATGGTGACTGTACCATGTTAGCTGTGTATCGTTTTAGAACTTTTTAGTCAGCCATATGTTATGCATAGAATGTTTATTATAAACTAATATAAAACGTCCTCTATCCCATTGGCTCAGACCTAAGGTGACTTGCAAACACTGAACTCTGTTCTGTAATTAACAGACACCCACGAAGCGACAGAAGTGGATGGGACTGTGCCGATGGGGCAGTGCGCTCTCCTGCCGCTGGCCGCACGGGTCACCGTTGGTCCTGGGGCCCGTTTTCCTCCTTGTACACGTTACTCTGGCATTTCCAGAGCCCCCCACCCTCCTTCTCCAGCACACGAGATTTGGAATAATGTTAGGGCCTCGTTTCCCGATGACAAAATGAGCCAAAATCACAGACTGGGTTTTGTTTACTTTGGTTGATTGGTTTTCATTTGTTTGCTTGCAAGCGGGGCTGTTTCTCAGAGAGAAAACAGGGCGTCTTGTTTCAGAGGGCAGGTCTGTCACCCCACCGGGGACACACAACAGGGCTCAGCGAGTTCCTAAGGGAGGGCCTCGTGGCCGGGAAGGCGGGTGGCTGCTGAGGTTCGGCAGCCGTGACGGGCTGTGCACCAGGGTTCCTTTGAGGGGTGTTCAGAGCTAGTACAGATCTTTTTTCTGGGACTGACTTTTCCTTAACAACTTATTAACTCAAATTAATAATGGAAACTACTTCCTGGATAACCTAGAAGGCAGAGAGAAATCATAGAAATTTCTCTTAAAATATTTCAAGAGCTTTAAAAAGAAAAATGACTATCAACTCTTTGGGGAGATAACACCATTTTCAAGCAGCTATTGATTGCATTCCTTATTTATGAACAGTTTTTACTATTTTAAGCCTACTCAACTTTAAAAATTAGCTTTATCTAAATTCTGACTTTGCTGGGCTTCTCCACGACTCTGGAAGCCAGCCCTCTCCTCCTTCCCCCTCCCTCCCTCCCTCCCTCCCTCCCTCTATCTGGGCCACCCTGCTCTTTGGATTAGTGAAAACATGCAGGGGATGTGGGCTCCTTCCAGGCCTTTGCTTCTCCCCCCACCAGAAACCGTGACCACGGGGCCAGCAGACTGTCAGCCAGGGCTGCGCGCACTGTGTCGGTTTGGGGGCAGCCGGCCTGGGCGCAGGCTCTGTGCTGGTGCCCGTGAGCCCTGAGTTCTTAGTTGCTGCCTCCCGGGGACGAGGGCTGAGGTCACTGAGAGAGCGGGCACTCCTGGACAGATGTGGCCTGCGGTTTCTCTAACCTCTCCCCTAATAACCTCCCATCGTGGCTGTGGTGGTTCATAAAACTGCCGCCCGGCATCCAGGTCTTCAGTGTCAGCGCCTGCTCTCTCGCCCGAGAATCTGTGGACGTGCTGCTTCTGTTGAGCTTTCATTGTAAACAAGCCGACCCTTTGTTCTTGCTAAATTCTCCCCTCCTGAAGGGTGCTTTTGACTGGCTGTGTTTTGAGACCCCAGATAAGCAGGGTGTCCTGCTGCTCAGCTGTTGAGCAGGTGGCCAGACAGGCTCTGCGGTGCCCGGCAGCTCCAGCTGACGGACTCACCCAGCTTCCAGCTTTTTGGTTCCAGATGGTAAGATAAGTTTCAGCATTTCTCCCGTGTGCAAAGGCAAGTGGGTGGTGGCCCCAGCTCGGTCACAGGGCCACGGTCAGACCCCACCCTGAGGGTTTCAGGAATCAGTTGTTGCCTGTCGGGCGACTTGCCTCTGACCTCTGAGAAAGTGTTGGAGCGCTTTTCTCTGTCCGACAAACTCAGACGTACCCGGAAGTTGTGACAGGCCCACTTTGGCAGCTAGTGACAGAAGTGACTCAGCCGCCTTCCTTTGTTTTAGTTATGTTTGGTCTATGAACTGACAATCTTTAAAACGTGAATACTGTAACAATATGTTTTCTTGGATTGTTGTCTTTAAAAGGGATTTTTGTGAAGCAATTGATTTATCAAAGCAAAAAAAATTAAAAATAGAAACACGCTTTATGGATGTTTTATTTTCTAAAGCTCATGTCACCGCAGTCTGCTTTTCCGTTTTAAGTCACACGTTCAGGCTGTTGGCTGGTTTTGCTGGTGACAGTTGGGGTTGTGGTGACCCTGCATGTTTTAAAAATTAGGGTCACCCTGCCCTGGGGCCATTCACATTTTTAAGAATCTTCAGTTACTTCAGTTAGTCATTGGTTTTCCAGGAAAAAAATTAGAAGGTTTTATTTGCTTTTTATTGTATTTCATCATAAATCTTATTATTTTGATAGTTATGAGAACAGTGATTGATGAGTAAGGTACTGCCTTCCACGGTGCACCTGGAAGCTGTGCGCCAGGCAGCCCGGGGCACCCTGGGAGGGCGTCCTGCGCCTCCCAGCACCTCCCAGCGGTGTTTCAGCCCCAGGACTCGCGCTCGGAGGCTCCCGTGAGTCAGCAGCCTTCAGTGCTGTTAAAAAAGTGCACCTGGAAGTGTGAATCTCGCTGGAGATTAGGGCTCACAGCTGTGAACTGTATCGTTTCAGGAAGTGTTCCCACCGCACAGAAAACAGAGTCCCAGTGTTGTCACGCCCACTCCTTGGGGTCAGAGGTGAGGGTAGACGGGAAGTTGAACCAGGCAGGGACCCAGCCCTTGACCGTCACCTCTAGACTCCAAGTGCTTCATTTGTAAAAGGAAAGAAATCAGTTTATAAAAGGAAAGAAGTTAGTTTATCAGGTTTATTCTAGCTCAAAAGTACTGCTTATCACAAATAAAATTCGAGAGAGAGAGAGATGCATTAATAAGTAATGATCTAGAAAATCCTGAAAATAAGAAATGAATTAGATTGAATGTTTAGAGTTTCACAGTCTGGCTTTGGGCAGGTGTCCCACATGATATGTGTTATGTTTAGCACATGTGTGTTGCTATGGGCACTCTAAGAAGAAATTCGCGGCACAGATCATTTTTGCCCTTTTTACAATTGGATCCTCTTACCTTCCCCGAGACCTAAGATGGCTGCACCAATTTCAATCTAAAGTTTGCACAGTCGCAGCCCACGTGACTGACCGAGGTGCACGCTGCTCTGGGAGGCCCGCACTGTCTGTGGCCCGGCCTCTGCGAGGGGGGCAGAATGTCCTGTCTCAACAGGGTCTCTGCGCCACGCTGGCTGGCCCGTCAAGGACGAGGTGGTGTGGCCCACCTGAGGGAGTTAGTACTTTACACACAGAAAGTGTTTGGAAAGCATTACCTTGTACAGATATTTCTGCTTTTTATATCATGATTTAAATGAACCCAAGACTTCAGCCTGTAAAAGTCAATAGAGGCTGTAATACGAAGGAGGGACTCTCTTATCCCAGCAGGTCTGAAAGGAACGTTTTAACAATGTATATGGCTTTACTTGCTTAGACCTATCTTTGGAAAATGGATGGTAGATAAAAATGGATGGTATATTTTTTAAATGTTTTGCTGCAAACTAAATTTTTCCCTGATAACATCTCAACTCAGCCATGCATGTCAGAAATTGGTCATGAGGCCCTGGCTGGTTCTATGTCGGGGGCGGGGGGTGTGGATTAGCGCAGCCCTGAGCTTGCAAACCGGAGGGTGAGCAGCTCAGGTAAGAGCCGCGGGGCGGCAGGAAGGGCTCGGCTGAAGAGCCAGAAGAGCCGAGAAAGTGCGTTTCCAGGGGCAGCTGAGGGTATGGAGGGTGTGGTGGGGGGCCCAGCGCCCCAGTGCGTGCGGTGGCTTTGATAAGAGCAGTGTCAGAGAAGGGTCAGAGCAGAGGCTGGCGGTCGGGGGTCACAGGGCGACTGAAGCCAGTGGAAGGTAACACGGGAGCTTCTTTTATTGCCTTGGGGTGAAGGTATTTTAAGGCCCCAGATGCGGAGATGACAGGACAGAACCTGGGAGGGTGTGGGCAGATGCACAGGAAGGATTTCTGTTCAGTGAAGGACGCAGGAACTGAGAACAGATGGCAATATGAGAGAAGCCTTTCCCTCTTATGACATTAATTTTGACAGGGAGTTCATAATGAGGACAAGGGAAGAGTCCTGCAAATCCACGAGGAAAAGACTAGAAATCGAGAGAAAAATGGCAGGGTGTTCGCTGGAAGGCAGACTCACAAGGCAGCAAGTAACATGAACTGCCAGGCATAGAAATGAAAACCGCTTTATCCGGCGGAAGGCAGGCAGGTGGCGTCGAGTATCTGTGCAAGGGGGAGCCCGCTCACTGCTGGCGGGAGTGTCCCTGGGACACAGAGGGACCTGAGTCTCAGCCAGGGCACGCTCAGGGTTCGTGGCAGCGTCTCTCTTTTTTGACAATGGGTTGTTTTTTGTTTGTTCTGGGTCTCATCATTTGTGACTGAATGCCAGGTATTTTTTGTAGAACAGTTGGGGGCCACAGAAAAGGGAACACCCCCTCGCACAGGCCACCTCGGTGGGCCCCAGTCAGTCTGCTCCACCCGTGCTCCTAGTGTGGGTTTTGTCGCTCTGGTGACCCTCAGATTCCTCCGGCCCAGGTTTTCCTGTGTTCCTGCCACGTCTCAGCTGCCAGCAGGTGCTGCGAATCTGAGCAGAGGTGGTCTCTGTGCAACGCCTGCCCCCGCCCCTGGCGGACAGTGGGATGAGGCTCAGGTGGGGACAGGGTGTGTTCCTGGTGCAGCCTCAGTCCAGGGCAGGTCCTGTGTCCAGGGGCTCAAGGGTCAGCTTCTCAGCAGCCTGCCTGCTCCTGCCTCTGCTGCCAGACTCGGTCTTGAATTAGGGTAGCATCTTGGGTGGGAGTGTGCCCGGAATCAGGGCAGGATCCTGGGTCGGAAAGGCTTTCTGCTCCCCTCCTACCAGATTGTGGTTCTTACTGGGAGGGGGACGGGGATTGTTCCTCCCCCAGTGGATTGACTTTTGCGTCATCGGGGGGAAGGGTTGGTGTGGTGGGTGGGGCGTCGTGCCTGTGCACCCCAGAGGGGGTCTCTCCAGTTCCCTGCCCCACTCCCCAGCCCTCCCCTTTGCAGCGGCCTCCTCTTCCTGCACTCCGCCCACGGGGAACCACTCTGTCCCCTCCCGCTCTGGAGGGCTGGTCACTCTGCGGGATTGAGTCACGTGGTAGCCTCGCAACCACTCTGAGTTTGAGAAGAGCTAAGATTTTGCAGATTATCTGCCTTCTCTCATTGTTAGGGTGCGAGCCATGTCCTCATGGCCTTCCACATCCAAAATGGAAGTGGGGCCATGGAATGGTGTGAAAAACAAGATTTTTAAGACAAATTAGAATGGAGGAAAAAGCAAAACTAGAGCTATGGCACAATCCCATTAGGTAAGTGAGAAATGCACAAAACACTGCTTTGAGGACACATCCACGGCGAGGGGGTAGGAGAAGAGGGCGTTAGCAGTGGGTTGGGACGGGCCGGTCACCAGTTAGGTGGCTTGGTCCAGATGCCCAGTGGGGTGCATGTTCAACAAAGGGGGGGGTCGGGCAGGGGAAAACTGGGTTTGGAAATCGTTTCCATTCACAGTGTAAGGGGTGGTTTTGTTCCTGTCCACCTTATTGTTGAGTGACCTAAAGCCATTTCAGTTCCTGAGTCTTTGTGTGGGAGTGTCACCCTCTCCGCGAGTGTCCGGGATCTTGCGGCAGGTTATGTCCCACAGTGGCCGCAGCAGTATTTCCAGTCCCATGTGCTTTTCTAAGACTTGGTCCGTCAAGTGAGATCCCTCCTCTTGTAGCTGCGTGAGGTTTTGTTAACCACTTTAATGTCGGAGCAGCATGAGGTGGCTGTGACGCTCGTGACCGAGAGGTTTAGACCAAAGGCAGACTGCTTCCACCTAACTCTTTCTTGGGACAGTGGCCTATGGGTTCCTGGCCACCATGTGGTAAGGAAGCCCGAGCTACGTGCGAGGCTGTGCGTGGGGTTATGGCCAGAGCCTGCACCAACCAGCGGGCAGGCCGGAGCGTGCGCTCGCAAATGCCTCCCGCCACCCTGGTGACACGTGGAGCAGACCTGTCCCTGAACTCTCGTGCTGCTCAAAGCACAGTCGTGGGAGCCAGGAACCGTGGTCACTGCTGTCGCTGTTATGGGTAGTTTATTAAGCACCCTCTTTGTGCCCCATGATGCCCAGGTGGGCCTGTTTCCCTTCACTGTGTGAGCGCCGGCCCCTTGGAAGCCCACCTGTGGACCCACGAAAGCGCTCGGTGAGCCCAGCCAGTCCTGATGCTGGCTCTGGATCCAGTCACTACTCCCCAGCTTTGCTGTTGGGCCACGGGGAGGCATTTCAAGGGGGCTTGGACGGGAGTGGGCCTCACACACGGCCCACTGCCCGGGGCCCCTCCACTCCCACCAGACCCCTGCTTCATCCAGGGCGCAGCGCCACCTTCAGCATGAACAGTTAGCAGAGTGGCTCTGCATTCCAGCTCATTCAATCTGCAGCTCAGTGTTTACGGTCCAGCCCCATCACGGGCCACAAACGGCCCAGGCAAGTCTGAGGTGCTCCTAGGACACGGAGCACGCAGAGGTGAAGGAGGGCCCGCCCAGCCCCAGAAAGGAAGGGCCTGATTGCTTTGAACTAAATCACAGAAGCCAGATTGAGTTAATGAGAAGACTGAACAGTAAAACACAGCAGGAGACCTGTCCTCTTATTAAAATGCTTAAGTGACTCATTTGCAAACCAACGTTCCTAAAATGAAGCCTTTGTAAGTAGCAGCATGTGTCCTGTCGATCAGTGTGCTGCGCAGTCTGAAGCGATTTGTCGTCTTAAGTAGGTTACATGTGATCTGGCACTGCTGTTCTAGAGGCTGGTCCAGCAAGCCGTTTCCTTTTAAATACACAGCACAAGCAAGAACACCATCACTCCCCACTGAGCCCGGGGCACTGGCTCCCCCACAGGAGGCTGCATATCCCTGCCCACCCCAGGGGCGCTTCAGTCTGCCCAGGCCACGCCCAGGCAGCGGGGCGTCCCCACCTGCCCCAGCCTAGTTGCAGCTGTGGGTGAAGGGCAAGGAGGCTGAGCAAATGAAGGAGGGAGGCGTGGGTGCCAAGCAGACCAGCAGTGACCCTGGGCGGCATCCTCCTGCCATGGGGGCTTCAGCAAGACCCCAGCAGGAAAACGAGGAAAAGCGCTGGGCCTGGCCACCCCACCCCTCACGGCTGGGACTCTGCATGAGTCGCCTGTTTCCTTCGCCCCCTCGAAGCATCACTCCTGGGCGCCTCTGTCTTTCTGCTGCAGTCTGTGGCTGCCGGGTCCTGCGGCCCGGGGATCTCCCTTTCCCGTCACTCTGAGGGTGCCCTCCATGGCCTCGGCTGGTGGAGCCCGTTCTCTCTCCCTCGTGTGACTCCCTCATTTTGGTGGAGCGCATCTTCCAGTGCTTTCCTGGGCAGGGAGGCCGCTTGCCTCGTTGGAGACAGCCATACCCGCTGCGGCTGTCAGGAGAGAATGTGCTCGCAGCAAGGGTCTGGCCGCCATCCCTTCTTCAAGGCACTTTCAGCCTCCGCCTGCTGGAGATGGAGAAGCCCGATGGCTTTCGCATTCCGAGACTTTGTGTGAGCCGGGTTTCCCCACCTCTGGAGGCTTATTGGCTTATTGTCCCAAGTGATGTTCACTATGTTCCCTGTGCAGTTCTTTCTCCATCCATTGTGCTGAGAACTGCGTGGATCCTCTCAGTCTGCAAACTCATGTCTTTTAGGGACAGTTTCTTGAATTATTTCCTTCTTCCTGTTTTCCCTTTCCTTTCTGGACCTATTACTAGTCAGATATTAGAACCCAAGAAGCTCAAAGAATTGCGACCACAAGAAACATGAAGAAAAATACATCATGATTTCTAAAACAATATTGAAAATGAACAAAGATTGAGGACACACACTTCCTGATTTCAAAACTTATTATAAAGCTACAATAATGAAAACAGTTACTGGCTTACAGATAAACACATAGACCAATGGAACAGAAATGAGAGTCCAGAAATAAACCCATACATCTACGGCCAGTTGATTCTGAGCAGGAGCGCTAAGACCAGTCAATGGGAAAAGAACGTAACTTCAAGAAATGGATAGTCACATATAAAAGGATAAAGTTGGACCCCTACCTCACACCATATAGAAAAATTACCTCAGAATGAGCTAACTTTGAGCTAAAAGTATAAAACTCTTGGAAGAAAATAGGAGCACATTTTCATGACCTTCGATTTGACAATGAGTTCTTAGGTAGAATTGCAAAGTAGAACAAAAGAAAAAATAGATAAATTAGATGTCATCAAAATGAAAAACTGTTGTGCCCCAAAGTTTTATCAAGAAAAGGGAAAAGACATCCAATGGAATGGGAGAAGATATTTGTAAGTCATAATTCCAATAAGGGTCTAGTTCCAGAATACATAAAGAACTCCTACAACAAAACAACAAAAGACAACCCAATTTAAAAATAGCCTAAAGACCTGCATAGACATTTCTCCAAAAAAGATACAAGTGGAAGAAAGCCCAGTATCACTGGTCATTAGTGAAAAGCAAGTCAAAACCACAAGACACCACATCATACCCACTACCATAGCTATTTAAAAAAAAAGAGGAAATTAAGTGTCGTCAAGGATAAGGAGAAACTGGAACCTTTACGCATGGCTTGTGGGAACATAAAATGGTACAGCTACTGTGGGGCACAGTTGGGCAGTTCCTTTAAAAATTAACCATAGAATTATCACGCAACCCAGTAATTCCAGTCCTGGGTATACGCCCCAAATTATTGAAAACAGTCATTCAAACAAATACATGTACACAAATGTCCACAACAGCACAATTCATAATAGTCAGTGGAAATGACCTAAACTTCCATCAGCTGGTGAGGGGACTATTATTCAGCCATAAAAAGAAAGAAAATACACCTGCTACAAAACGAACCTTGAAAACATGTTAAGTGAAATAAGCCAGACTCAAAAGGCCACAGATTGTACGATCCCATTTATCTGAAATACCCCAAATAGGTAAATCCGTACAGAGACAGAAAGCAATTAGTGGTTGCCAGGAGGGGGGGGCAGGCGAGGGGAGGAAGAAGGGAATGGCCGCTTAAGGGGGTGTGGGAAATTTGGGACTTGACAGAGGTGGTGGCTGTACAACATCTTGAATGTAGTAAACGCTACCGAATTGTACCCTTAAAATCCGTTCATTTTAGGTATGTGAATTTCACCTCAATTACAACATCCCAAACACTAAAGTCACTCTAACCAACCTCGCCCTAAGCAGACAGCGCTTCCCTGCGAGGGCCCCTGAACCCATCCGTGCTTCCTGAGCTCCCTCCCTGCGGCTCCCCATTCTGGATTCTTCTCTGGAAAAGGCACTGCCTTCTGCCTTCAGTCCACTCTGGCCCCATCACTGCATGGGTTCACCAACCTGGCTGAGTACCCTTTTAATATGATTTCCTTGTTGAAACATTTTAAGAGAAAGTTAAAAGCACATTCTATTCATTCAAGTGTCAGGTATTCATAAAGGAACTGTACCATTCCCACTGGCCTCCGGCTAAGCACCCTACCCCCGCTCCTTGCTGCCCACAGCAAGGGCAGTGCCCAGCGCTGGTGGTTAAAAGGCACACAGGCTTGTTGGTTAGTGTTTGTGAGAGCAAAAGAGCAGGCGGTGTGTGCGGAGTCAGAGCTGGGCCTCAGCCCCGCCAGCCCTGGGTTCCAAGGCACTTGCTGACTTTATCTTCTGGTCCCGCTCCCGGGCAGCCACAAAGTTCAGCAGGTCAATGGCGGTGACGACCCCGAACACCATCTGCCTCTTACTGGACTTCCCGTGGCTGTGGTCTGAGGAGGGAACAAGGCAGTGGGTTAAAGCACCTCCACATGGAGCCGTGCCCACCCCCGGGCACTCTGGAAGCTGAACCACAAAGTGTGGCCCTAGGGGACCAGCTGGGAGCTGCCCCAGTGTCTACAGCCCCTGGCAGCACCCACAGAAGCCCAACAACAGAGGCCCCTCCTCCTGACAGGTGCCACCTAGGTGGAGCTGCAGCGAGCAGGGTGCTGCCCTCGGGGCCGCGTCCACGGCCACGTGCCCAGGAGCCTCGCTGGCTGTGAGCGGCCTGTGGGCCAGCCTGGGTGGGCGAGGCTCAGGTCTTGGCATGAAATTCCAACACCAAGCATACCCACGAGCTACGTCAGCTCACATCTCCGGCTGTGACTGTCCTCAAACCCTTGTTTCTCTCTCGGGCTTAGAATGGATGCCATCCCCCGGGAGAGCAGATTGTGAGACGCCTCCGCTTGACTGGGCACAGAGTGCTCAGATTTGGTCAAACATCAGTCTGGGTGTTTCTCGATGAAATCAACATTTGACCCGGTGGACTGAGTAAAGCAGACTGCCCTCCCTGGTGTGGGTGGGCCTCATCCAATCAGTTGAAGACCTCAATAGAACGAAATGGCTGATGCTCCCAAAGGAAGAAGGGACTTTCCCAGCCTTTGGATTTGAACTGAAACCTTGGCTCTTCCTGCATCTCAAGTCTGCCCACTCCCCCTGCAGATCATGGGACCTGCCAAACTAGTCACATGAGCCAGTCCTTCCAACAAATCTCTCTACACACACACACCCCTCTGGTCCTGTTTCTCTGTAGAGCCCAGATACAGTTGCCATGAAGCACAGAGGGCCAGGTGGTGCTGCGGGAGGGTGGGAAGTGCCCAGGCCACGTTTTATCCCTCCAGACCCCGTCCCAGTGACTCCAGGGCCACATGTCCCCTGGGTAGGGGAGGGGGGAGACACAGAGGATCCAGGGACCCTGCAGGCCTACTCAGAGCGCCTCAGGAAAAAAACAAGGGAGGCCCAGAGGGAACCAGCTGCCCTCATTTCAGGGACCTCTAGGCAAAGCGGGACTTAGGAAGAGCATGGCCTCTGCAAGGGGGGTGGTCTGCGCGGCCTCTGCCGCCTGCCCTCGTCTGCTCTTTTTCTCTGGCCACCTCTGCGAAGGGCCAGAGTCTCTGTCGTGACCGCGCGGCTCTGCCGACAGCATGAAGGCAGCCGTGGACACGGTGTCAGGCATGGCCGTGCCCAAGGACACTTCATTTGTGGACCCTGACGTCGAAACTCATATTCTGGGAGCAGGGAGACATTCAAATACAAGTAAATGGAGATGAAGCAAGAGCCCTCCCCGCCAAGCCCTGGGGCCTGCGAGCCCGGACGCCCTCCTCTGTGCTCGGAGCTGCAGTTGTGAGAGCAGAGCCATTTCCGAGGTGCGGACAGCGGGCGTACATACCTGCGGGCCCCCCCACCACTCCTGCCAAGGCCTGGTCCTGCGCTGTGGAGCCAAGGACGGGAGAGGGGTTAGACTTGGCCGCCCAGACCCTGACGGCCCTCGACGGTGGGTGGGGGTGGGGGGCAGGCTCCAGGGCACTCCCGATTCTTGTGATCTCTGCAACCCTCGCCCTCGTAGGCGCCCCGGCCTGGCCTACAGAGGGGCCCCTCTGAGAGCCGTGCTCAGGGCTGGGAGTGGCTGAAGGTCAGCACCACTGGTCCCCAAGTGCCCATGAGGCACCAGGGCCTCACTGCCGCACAGGAGCTCATGGCAGCGAAGTGCATGAGGGACCCTGGGGCTGGGCCTTGGTGGCCCGCGCCCCGCAGGGCTCCACCACCCCCGCCGCCAGCCCCACTTACACTGGATCTGCTCGTGGACCACCAGGGCGAAGTGGTCCATCTCCAGGATGCGGGAGAGCGTGCCCAGCGGGTCCGTCGGGCGGATCTGGAAGAGAAGCCAGGGGGTCAGCGCACAGCAGGGCGGCCCAGCCAGGCCCACCACGGGAAGGCGCACAGGGCAGCGGGCAAGGCCGGGCCCCGCTTCCTCTGCAGCCTTCTCCAGGGTTAGAAACTGCAGGAGTCGGAGGCCGACATGGCCCCAGGAAAAGACACTGGGTCAGCTGTCAGCCCAGGAAAAGACAGGGATGTGCAGCACGCATCGCTGCGCAGGAGCCAGTGGGGGAGGCTGCCCTCACTGGGATTCTAATTCTCGAATGATCTAGAAAAGGAAAAACTTGGGTGATCAGTGGTGCCAGGTGTTGGGGGAGGGAGGGAGAGAGAAATGGGTAGATCACAGGGGCCATGCGGCCGTACACACACAGTCTAATCCTGTGATTCCGTCATGGACACATCACTCTACACTGTCACAACCATCGAACTGCAGAACACAGAGGTCGAGCCTTCATGTAAACGAGGGACTTCAGTCACTAGCTCTGTAATATTCATCATCAATGGTAACCCTAAGACCGGTGTGGCACGTAGTCACAGGGAAGCTGTCAGGGGAAAGGGGGACATGGGATTCACTCTGTGCCTTCGCTCCACAGACAAGTCACAGGGAGCCCTAAAGGAAAATAGGCACTTAGGGTCCAGCATTCAAAGCTCGACACAGCTGGACTCACCTGCAGCTTCCCGGGAAGGAGTTTACGCAGAGACAGGCAAAGGGAACTGGGGAAACAGGAGACCGACGGAGGAGGAGTGGGGACGCCAGTTAAGTGGCAATCAGAGACCAGCCGAGGTGCAGGAGGGGTGACGCTGACCCACGGGGGCCCCCCAGTTCCAGGCACATCACCCCACTCAGTCCACAGGTCACTGACCCAGAGGCCTTGCGTGTCCAAGTGCCTGCTCCCTCCCGCCCAGTCTCGGAGGCTCCACGCGCAGCCCCTCGGGAAAGGCTGCCTGGAGCCCTTGCCCCCACGTCACCTGCGCCCGGCCTGCAGGGGCCCCTGGGGGCTCAGTCCGCGGGGAACACCCAGGAAATGGGGATGGGGGTGACCCTAGGGCTCCTCTTGGCCCACCTGGTAACAGACACTAGATGCCCAGGAGGGGAGGTTTGCTCTTCGCGAGGGGTCTGGGTGGCCCCAATGGCCATCTCCACATCCTTTTGGAAGCCACACCCAAGGAGGCCTCGGGGCTGGCAGCTCCCAGGCGCTCGGGGGGCTCGCTGAGCCAGCTGCTGGCCGGCAGGCACACTCGGCAGGGACAGAATGCCCCCTCCGGGGGGGGTCAGATGTGGGGGATCAGATGTGGGGCACCAGAAGGCGACTTCTCTGCAAGCTGAACTCATATGTGGCCATAATTCCATTTGAGAAGATCTTTCTGGTTGTAAATGATCGGGAATTTCACAGACAAGGTGAAGGGAAGAGCAGAATGGAGCGAGCTCACCACGCCTCCCGCTTGGCCCTCGGAAAGCGATGGAGCCCGAACTATTTGAGCAGCCTGTCCTCCTGAGGTCTCTCTTGGTTATGGGGGGTAGGGTGAGGGGCGCTGCGGGGACCACATGACAGCTGATGGCACTGGGGATGGAAATGGTGACATTCCAGCTGTGTGTGTCTTGTGTGAGAGAGAGTAGAAGGTCGGGTTCTTTCCTAGGTTGGGGCCCCACCTTAGTCATGCTCACTGGGAGGTCAGAGAAGGTGGGTGTGAACCCGGGACTAGGGAGCGGGGCGCCCCAATGGCAGTGGCCTCAGAGACACCAAGAGCGGCGTCCAGTTGGCTCAATCCAGGCCTGTCAGAGGGTGGCCATTGTCTGCGGACATCCAGGGAGGTCTGACCAGCGGCAGCACGGCCAGGGGTGATGTGGTACTTCTCCCGGAACATTCTAGTTCTTATGGAATCATTAGGCGTGCCAGATGTGCTCAGATGAGTGCCTCACGGGGAGAAATGAGGGCCCGGCGGACACGGGGGCGGAAGTGGGCCTCGGCAGCCCGCTCCAGCGAGCCGGGGCTCGTACCTGTTTGAACTGCTTGTAGAGGACTTTGTGAACTTGGTCAGACGGCCGCACCTTCCCAGCCAGCAGGCATGACAGCATGTTCCCCAGAGTCACCATCCCCAGGATCACCCTGGGGGAGGGGCAGGGGCGGGGTCAGTGCAGGGGCCTCCCGGGCCCTGAGGCAGCAGAACACGCCCCCAGCCCCCCACCCCACCCCCAGCATCAGAGTGGCCTCCGGCCCAGTGTGGAATTCCTCTGGGAACTCAGCGCGCATCTGCCGAGGGCCCACACGTGGCAGGAAGCCAGCGGTGACCAGGCGCCCTGCCCTGGACCGGCCCGTCCAAGGCGGGCAGGCAGTAAACCAGTGAGAGCTTTGGGCATTTCCATCCGACAGGTGTCCCCATGCTCTGGGACATGGGACTTTTGGTGCTAGAACAGTAACAGTCCCAGGAGAACCTGGACAACTGTCAGGTTCTGGGGCATGGTCACTATGCAGCGACTGCTCAGAGCAAGGCCAGCGACTGCCCCTAGCCTCCTGTGCTGGCACTGAGTGCAGCGGGGTGGGACACAAGGGTTAATACGGCCAGCTCCCCCCCACCGCCCCGCCCACGCTCAGGGACATGGGCGCGGTCCAATGCTCTGGACATTCCTATGCAAAGTGACCGAGGTCAGCGGGCCAGCCCTGTCCTGGAGTGTGGCTGAGACTGACCCCGACTCATCCACCACCGGGGCCTGGTCGAAGCCCTTCTCTCGGAGGATCTCGATGGTGTGCTCACAGGTGACTGTGGGCAGCACTGTCAGCGGGGCCGACAGGCTCAGCTCCTGGACTTTGAGGTGCCACCACCTGCAGGGAGAGCAGGGCAGGTGGGAGTCAAGGACAGACACCCTGACACAGGGTAGCATCACGCAGCGAGCCCGTGGGGACGACTGGCCAGGCATGGGGCAGCCCCGGCGCCCCAGGTGCTGGAGCGGGTATCCCGCAGGTGGTTCTTGGGGTGTGGTCCCTGCTCAGAGGCGCCCTCACCAGGGCTTCTTCACCGAGAGGTCCTCCTCCTTCAGGAAGCCCTTCTGAAGCATCCATCTGTCACTCAGGAACTTGGACCTGCAGGCGTCAGGAGGTCAACAGGGCCAGGCAGAGGGTCCCGCCACTGCCTCTGCTCACACCAAGGGGCACGGTTCTCACAGAAAGCCCAGCACCGCCCGGGCCTGCCTGGCTCAGTGGATCAAGGGTTATCCCACGAAGCCAAAGGTCGCTGGTTCGATTCCCGGTCAGGGCATATGCCTGGGCTGCGGGCCGGAGTGCGGGTGACGCAACGGGCAAGTGGGGCAGAGGCCTTTTTGGGGGGCTGCCTCCTCACCCTCCCTCAGCTGGTGCGTTAGGCCCAGAGGTCTCACGGGAGCAATGGGGGTGTGGGGGCGGAGCTGTGGGTGGGAGCAGGGCCACTGCCCTGCAAGGAGTCCTGCCAGGCTTGTGGGTGCCGCCACTTGCCACCACAGTTGTGCGTTTTGGGGTTTTTTTAAATTTTATTTTAAAGATTTTATTTATTTTTAGAGAGAGGGAAAGGGAAGGAGAGAGGGAAACATTAATGTGTATTTGCCTCTCACACATCCCCTGCTGGGGACCTGGCCCGCAACCCAGGCACGTGCCCTGACTGGGAATCGAACCAGCGACCCTTTGGTTTGCAGGCTGGTGCTTAGTCCACTGAGCTACACCAGGCAGGGCTTGTGCATTGTGTTTAAGCACATCTAGAAGACCCCAGACATGGACACAGCAGGCGGAGAATACATGGGCGCCCCCCACCCGGGAGATGTAGGGGGAGCTGTGGCCAAGGAGGGCGGGAGCAGAGCCTGCAGGGCCCCCTGACCCCACCCCACCCCCCTGCTGTCAGACCTCGGGGCAGGGGGCATCCAGCAGAGCTACAGCTGCAGCATCCGAGGGGGTGCCAGGGAAGGACAGGACCAAGCGGGGAGGAGGAAGGGGCCTTCTCACATGTAGTTCCGGACGGAGTCGGGCAGAATCACCACACAGCGCTGGCCCTCCCGCAGCTCCTGGGCCGCCTTCACGGCCACCGCCATGGCGCTGCCGGCACTGCCACCTGCCGAGAGGGCCGGTGTCAGACCCGCCGGTGTCAGACCCACTGGTGTCTGACCCACCGGAGTCAGAGGGGCGTGGGGAGGCAAGAGCCTCGTCCCATCCCCTGGCCATGGAAGCCCTCAGGCTGCACACCGCCCGGCCTCCCCGAGCACCCCGCCCCGGCCCGGGACCCCCACTGATGGGGAGCCCCCACCCCAAGGGCAATGCTGGTCTGGACTGAAAAAGCCACACAGCCCTAGATCTCTGGCCCCAAAACACACATGCGCCAATGACGGTGCTGCCAGGTCGCCTCTTGGGGGCCACACCTCAGTCCCCACTGTTAACTTTGCCAGGAGTGCAAAGCCGGCAGCTGCCTCTTTTTTTGTGTCAAGCTGTGTCCCCAGAGCCTTTTCAGGGCTTCATGCCACGCCCCACCCTCAGCCAGGTTGGCAGAGGCAGAAAGCAAAGCAGGCAGACCCAGGAACGTTGACCCAGAGCTCCGGCCACACTGGAAGGGCGCTCCTGCCTCCCCTGTGAGCTGGCCGCCGATCCGGAGGACGGACCGGCAGACCCCCATAGGTCCAGAGCAGGCAGACAGCACCCAGGGGAGCTGCCACGCAGCCTCTGAATGGGGGCATCCTTTACACCTTTGGCCTGGAAGCTGGCAGAGGGCACGCGCCCATCTGTCCTTTGCACCCCAGCTGCCACCCCAGTACCCGCCCGCCACTCACCGCATAGCAGTCCCTCCTGTGCGATCAGCATGCGGGCAAAGGCAAAGGACTCCTCATCGTTGCACTTGAACCACTTGTCCACCACCTGCGGGCGGGGCCCAGATTGCCGGCTGCAGGAGGAGCTCGAGCAGGTATGCGGTGGGGGTGGGGGCCTCACAGCTGTGTTTGCAACTTCACAGATGACCTCAGTCCAGGTGGCTGTGACCTCAGTAGACCCAGCCCCAGTCCCTGCTCTGGGGTCCGAGACTCATGACTATAAACCCAGAACTTTCTACCTTCCTGGTTCAACGCGTTCTGCACGTGGCAATTAAACTGGCCTGCTGGCTCCTGCTGCACGGCCCCATGTCCTACAGGCCGGACTCCACGCCCCTTAGACTGAAGCCTTTTTGAGCCCTTAGAAGGAGCCTGTTCTGGGGTTCTTACCGCTCCCGCATTCTTCTTGCTCACCTGCCCAAGTTCCCTCCCCCTGCAGGGCCCTCATCTGTGCATGTGGGTCAAAGCGAAACCTTCTGGGGTCTTTGCCCAGCAGGTCACATCACATACTGGGATATGGGGCCGATGTTACCTGGTTTTGACCTTCAAGACTACGCTTCCTCCGCCTGCCTGCACGTGGTCATGTTTCTGCCCCTCCCGCAGCGGGAAAGCCAGGCCGGGCGCCTGCGGTCAGCCGGGCGCATACAGATGTGCAAGCTGGTGGAAGGGCGAGCCCCGGGGGCGGGAACCAGTCCCGGGGCCCTACCTACCGACCGGTCCAGCACGGTGGGGATGAAGTCATAGCCGATCCCTTCCACCTCGTAGGCTGTCAGCTCCGTCCGGTTCAGCTCCTCAGGCTCCGCAAGGATGGAGCCTTCGGGGTCCACCCCAATGATCTACGGAGGGGGCAGCGTTAGGGCCTGTGTCCAGCAAGAGCAATCTGGACGAGCCCAGCTCCCGTCGGCAGGGCAAGGCCGGGCGGACGGACTCCTGTGAACGATCTGCCCGTGGGATGCAGGTCTTGTTCCCGGCTCCGGGGCCAGACTCAGGACCCAGAAACCACGGAATTGCAGTGGGGAAGTGGTTTCCCAAGGAAGTTCCTCCTGCACAGCATGTCCCAGGACAGCCCCGACACGTCGCCCCAGGGGACAGACAGGGCCTTGGGAACAAGGTGCCATGCTGGCACTGGCCCCTCCCTGGCCAGCGGGGAGGTGGACGCAGGGAGGAAGGGGCTCAGCATCCCCAGCAGGTGTTTCTGTGAGCCCCGCCCCCAAGCCCACTCAACTGCAACCCAGTGACCTCCCTGCCTCTCCGAGCCCAGGCGGGGCAGACGCGGGACCTGAACCTGAGAGCTTAGACCTTCTTAGTGACCCCCGGGGGCCACCCAAACTGACTTCCACCCCCAGCTCACTGGATCGTTGGATTCCTCTTTGTAACGGAGGGGGCTGCAACTTCCCTCTCCTCCCCCCGCCCCCACTGCCCCAGCAGCCCTGGGTCACTCACTTTGCATCCGGGACACTTCTCCTTTAGCTTCCTGGCAATGCCCGTGATGGTGCCACCTGTGCCCGCTGAAGCCACCAACATGTCCAGCTTCCCTGATGGGACAGAGGCCACATCAGGAAGGACATTCCGATAATAATTGAAAACATACTCGACCCAAATGAAGGTGGGTTATCAAAAAAGGTCAAAAGAAAAACTGTTCTCCAATTTCCACAGCTTTTCATCACAGTCCTTCATCTTGGGGAAGCATTTTGTCCCTGGATCACAGGGACGGAGCTTCATTTGAGTCTTTGCTAAATGACACTCAGCCACTGAATCCCTATTTGGTGTAAAGTCTGCCTGGAAGGGTGGGAAGGACCATGTGGTGGCTGCCGGGGGCAGGGGGGGCGGGACACAGAGGGGCTCCTCACGATGTACCTTTGTATGCTGTTTGGTTTTGGACATTGGGAACAAGTCAACTGAATCACGAAGGATAGAATAAGTCAGTCTGGCTCGGCCCAGAGATCACGTGGGCTCTGCTGCTGCCGGGCGCCGGCCAGGCATCCTGCAGGCAAGTCCGCGCGGGCCCCCGTGCCGAGGCAGGGGGCTGCTTTTGCCTGATGAGAGGATTCTCACATATAAAACCTAGGTGAGCAAATGCCTGGCCTTCACTGCTGGCTCCTGGGCATGGAACGCGGCTGCACTTAAGCCAGTGCCAAAACCAGACTCCAAGCAGGAAATGTTCCAGGAGCTGCATGCCCACATAGACAGTACGCGAATTGTTGACATCCCCCGCCCCGGGCTCTGGAGGTGAGAAAATCTGAGTGTGGAATTCAACACTCGAGCCAGGGCTTGATGCCCAGTGCCATTCAGCAACGTGAGGCCCCAGCTGCAGGCCCAGCACCCGCCCAGGACACGCTTGCTTCCCACAGGCGGGCGCTTCTACAGCTCTGGAGGACAGACTGCTGGGTAGACAAGTACAACTGCATGATCTGCTTGGCAATGTTTAGAAGAGGCACACGCAAAGTCCAAGACAGCACAAGAGAAGCCGGAAACTGCTCTAGAGAAATGCGCATGTCACAGAGGTCGGGCATTTGACCGGCGTTTTGAAGGGTGAATAGTTTACCAAGGCACGGGCAAGTGACTTGTGCACTCTCAGGCGACTAGAGAGAGAGGCAGGGAAGGCGGGCAGAGGGGCTAGGACGGCAGTACACACCATCACACTGCTGCAGGATCTCCTCGGCCGTGCTGTCGTAGTGAGCGATGGGGTTGTTGACATTGCGGTACTGCGTGGAAAGAGAGCAAGCAAAGGGGCTGTGAGTGGAGGTCCAAGACGTTGAAATGGCAGCAGCCACAGGGCATCTGGCAAACAGGCAAATGAGCTCCCTGCACGCCAGAGAGGATTCCAGCAGCTCTGGGAAGGAGGGCCGACGGCAGTTTTAGGAGCCTCAACAGGCACAAAACAGTAAACCCAGCTCTTCAGAAGATGCAATTTCTGAATTAACCCAGGGGCAAAGTGAGGGCTTCCACTCACTTTGGAAGCAAAGAAGCAAAGAAGAGCTTCCAGTAAAAAAATGTTTGCATGTGTTTCATGCCTGCAGAGAGCGTCCAGGGCCCTCAGCGAAGGGCAGGCCCGCCCAGCGTGATGAACTGAGCTGGACGCAGACAACCAATGGCCCGGCCCACGCGGAAGAAGTCAGCAACTTGGGCCGCTCGCGGTGTCAGTCGCCTTTGCAGCCCCCGCTCCTGCAGGAAATGCGGCACCACCCCGACACCGCAACACAGGTCCCCCCGGATGCCACGCCGAGCGCACACTTGCCCCAGGCCTCACCTGGTCCAGGATGTGAGAATTGGGGATCTCGTTCTTCAGCCTCCATGCCACCCCGACGTGTGACTCGGGGGAGTCAAACCTGGCATTGGTGGGTGTCCTCACAATCTCAGCCCCCAGGGCCCGCAGGACATCCACCTGCAAGGGAACTGAGCCTTCAGCGCCCCGCCAGGCCTCCCAAGCCGGGCCAGGGGCCCCGGGGGACAGGCCCGCCCGCCAGCCTACCTTCTCCATGCTCATCTTCTCTGGCATCACTATGATGCACCGATAGCCCTTCACCGCAGCAGCCAGGGCCAGCCCGATCCCTGGGGACAGCACACAGGGACGCGGGTGACACCCTACCCCCTGCACCTGCGGCCCCCGACTGGGAGGCCGGAAACAAGCCCCAAAGACCCAAGGAGAGGGCACTGCAGCTTCCCCAAAGCCCCACGCTGTCCCGCTCTGCCCTCAGCGTTGAGACAGAGAGAGTGCAGAGATGAAATAGAAGACAAGGGCGCTCGGGGGAAGAGAAGCCGGGGTGCAAACACCAGCTCCAGTCCCTCCAGCTTTCGCTGGGTGCCCGCCCCCGTCCCAGACGCCTTAGGGCAGCAGCGGTGAGAGCGAATGGTGCGGGCTGACCGCGGGCACACGCAGTCCTTCATGGAAAGGGAGGACGGCCCGGATGGCAGGCAGAGATCAGCAGGGCGGCCTCCTCCCTGGGCCCAGAAGGGTCAGGGCCACCGCCACCGCCCAGGGGACAGAACATCAAGCAAAAGAGTATTACTGTCGAGTCTTAAGACCCAATGGGCCCTGGCTGGTGTGGCTCAGTGGACTGAGCACAGGCTATGAAGCAAAAGGTTGCTGGTCCGATTCCTCGTTAGGGCACAGGCCTGGGTTGCGGGCCGGGTCCCTGGTCGGGCGTGTAGAGGGGCGACCAAGCAATGTTTTTCTCCCTCTCTTCCTCCCTCCCATTCCCCTCTCTAAAAATATAAATAAAATCTTTAAAAAAAGACCGAGTGGAATTTGCCAAGCAAGGTTTCAGACTTGCTGGGGACCCAGCACCCCTCCTTCTTTCCTGTCTCTCCCCTGGCAAGGGGGTGTCTGTCCTGTGCCCGCCCCACCGCTGCATTTTGGAAGCACGTGACTCGGCTGGTTTCACAGGTTCACAGCGGGAAAGCACCCTGCCTCGGCACGAACGTGAGCGGATGAGACCCTGGCCCGCAGAGCGGGTGCGGGAGGGAGCTCAGGCCGGCCGGGGCTGCTGGCACAGAGGCAGTGCACTTTGCATGTGAGCAGGATGTGGGGCTTGGGGGCCAGATGGCAGAGTGTTATGGGCTGCACTGTGTCCTCCAAAATTCCTATGTTGACGTCTCAGCCCCCAACCTCTCAGAAAGTGACAGTATTTGGAAATGGGTTTTGAAGAGGTAAGTAAAGTTAAATGAGGTCGCTGGGTGGTTCCTACTCCCACATGACTGCGTCCTCAGAAGAGGAGATGAGGGCACAGACCCATGGAGAGGGGACAACCGTGGGAGGACACAGGGGGAAGACAGCTGCCTACAGGCCAAGGAGAGAGGCCTCAGGAGGAACCAGCGCTGCGAAACCCTTACGTTGGACTCCAGCCTCCAGGGCTGGGAGGGCATACACGCATGTTGATTAAGCCACTAGTCTGCGGAATTTGTTATGGCAGCTATAGGAAACCAAGACACAGTTTCACTCTCAGATGTAGCTGCTCACATGAACATCTGACACCAGTAATGCAGGCCCACCCGTAAGATGCCAGAGGAGGCAGGTGCAACACCCAGGCGCAGCGCGCGTGCGTTCTGAGCGAACTGCAGGCGGAGAGCGACCCCGGTTGGTCCCAGCGCGCACCTGTGTTCCCAGACGTCGGCTCGATGATGGTGTCCCCGGGCTTCAGGGTCCCGGCGCGCTCGGCCTCCTCGATCATGCGCAGGCTGATGCGGTCCTTCACGCTCCCGCCCGCATTGAAGAACTCACACTTGGCCACTGGGAGCCAGAGACGGGTCATGAGACAGGAAAAGGCCCCTGACCCCTCCCTGACCCCTGCCGCCCCCTCCCCCACCACCTGATCCACCGATGCAGGGCCAGGCCCGGTGTCCCTGGTTGCGTACGTCTGCCCCCTCTCCACACCTACCCACCCACCACCAAAGCTGCAGGTGGCCCCCCTCCACCTGCCAGGGGCCACATGGCGACCCCGAGGGAAGGAGCCCCCAATGGCATGGAAGCCCCCAGGAGCTTGCTGGGTGTGCAGCCGTCAGCTGATTTGAGCCCATGTATCCCTCAGGGCCCGGCCGTACCCAGCAGCCCCTGCCAGATCACTTGATGCCCTGAAGCCACGGGTCCGGGACACACTCCTTCAGGACCCAAAACCCGCCCCGCCCACCTCTCATCACCTGCCCCTGGAGATACCGCTGCCCAGAGCCACAGGCTCTGCACCACCCTCCCCGCCCAGCGAACACGCCATCCTTTCCAGTGGAGTCCTGGGCTCCGCTCTTTCCTTAAGACGACTCCCTCCTACCCCCTATAAATATGCACTGCTTGCAAAGAGAGGGAGCTGCTGCACCTCCTGGGGTTTGAAGGCCGTGGGCCAGCCTACAACCCTCGCCACACAACCTCTGACCTAGTTTGTCCCAGTTTCTGAAATTCTACCTCTAGATAGACATTGTCCCCTAGAGCCAGGGGAGGCCCCTGCTGGGACCACATGTGGACATGCATGTGGGTGTGTGTATGTGGTGGGTGTGCACGTGTGTGTATGGGCATGTGTGGTGGGGGGGTTCCCAGGTGCCTGACTGCTGAGCACGCCCGCACCCCAGGACCCTTCTTGGCCTCACGCCCGAATCACCTGGTTAGACAGTTCTAACCAGCCTGAGCGAAGGCCGGAGCTGACACAGGGACCTGAGCTGATCCGCACGTGGCCTCATCGGCTTGTCCGTGTGTGACATGGACACACGGAGCCTCTCCTGGGGCCGCGGCCAAGCTCGGAGCAGCGGGCCCCCATCCCTCTCACCTGAGGCGAGAGCACAGAGCAGACCTGGGCCGGGGAGTCTGCAGGGCACCCCCAAGTGCTGCCAGGAGCGCTTGCCGCTCGCGGCTTCTTAGGGAATTCTTTCCCTGGGGGGGCGGGGGGCTCTGCTGGTGACCCGTGGCCTCAGTCCCTCCCCTGGGTGGTGCCACTTCCTTGAGGCTGGCTTCCCCCTGGTGTCACCTGGCCCCTCAGGCCCACTGCACCCCAGAGCGCCTGGTTCCCCTCTAGGGCACTTGCATTGCTGTTTCCCCTGTGACAAAGGGGCAGCTTTGCTCGGGCTCCTGCGCCAGAGACAGTGACAGTGAAGAAACCCCACCCCCTTGTGTGCCTAGAGGCCACTTCCTGCAGAGCAGCCCCTTCCCCAAATGACAGATAAGACTCGGGGATGACCCCCTTGCTTACATAGGATGAGGCCAGACAGAGCCCCCCAAATTCCCGCTCTTTGTCTCATAAATGATTGGTGAGCGGTCTGTCCCCACAAAACCAGCCAAACACGGAGATAAGCAATTCCCGCCCAGGTGGTGGCTGAGACGCTTGGCGCAAAAACCGTCCCTGGCATCACATCGCCCATCGGCAGGGCGCCTGCCCCTCCCCAGAAAACTTTAAGGCTCTGGCCTCCTCCTGCCCTGTCCTGGGGAGATGACTCTCCTTCCCGCACGGTCGGCCTGTGACACGGTCCCGGGCCTGCCTCCCGGGGGCCGCGCTCGCTCCCCCCGCGCACTCAGGCCTCAGCCCACACGTGCCCTCCTCGCTGACGCCGGCTCCAGAGCGACCCACTCGGTCGCCCTCTCGCACATTCTTCCCAATCTCACCTGACCCAGCCTCGGTCATTCATGAACCCCCCACCCTGTGGGTCTGAGGGGCCCCTCCCGCACCCCCAGGCCGTGGGGGGCCGAGCACAGGACGGAGGAAGCAGGTACTCACAGAGCTCACACTTGAGGCCAAAGTTTTTCCCGATCTTGTTGATTCTCACCATGGGGGTATCTCCAATCTTCTTCAGGATATCGGGCAAGATTTTGGGGGATTTTCCCCTAAAATAGAAGAGCCCATGATTATTCAGAAAAACAAAGTAAAATGGTACCGGCCTTGGCTGGCCAGCACATTCTTTTAAATAAGTCAAAAAAGAAATCAAAGAACTGGCTGTAATGAGGGACCTGGGCAGTGATTACACAAATCTACACACAGGATAAAAGGTCACCACACACACCCCCACCCCCCACCCACCCCCTAAAAACCTGTACAATGAATCACGTCCGTGATTTAGTTGTCACTCAGCCGCACCAGTGCCACGCCGGGTTTGGCAGTGCGCTATGGCGGGCGCCCCGGGGGACCGCAGTCAGGCTCCCTCGTGTCCTCTCTCCAGAGCCAGGTCTCAGACCCGCCGCGTGGTGAGAAGGCGGCATGCGGGCTGGTGACAGGGCTGGTAAAGGGTTTGCCTTTGCCTCAAAGTAAATAATGAGTTCTGTCAATACTGTCAGTAAAGCATTCCTTTGGGGGAAAATGCAAAAGAGGGAAGAACGCAGAGGGGAGAGGGAGAGAGGGAGGGAGGAAAGACAAGGCGCCCTGGCAGTGAAAGATGTCCTCCACGGGCAGCGAGGGGAAGGGGCCACAGGGCCTCTCTGCACTGTTTTTGCAGCTACTTGCCCGAGCTAAGTTATTCCCAAACACAAAAGTTAAAGTAAACACTGACTTCAAAACAACAGGTCCGAGCCCTCCTTTTAGGAAGTCTTTCCTGGGGACCTCAATTCCTTTCCTTTCTCTGCGTCTGACCGCCGCACCCCGCACCCCCTTTTCTTCTCTTTGATCAAAAAACTGACCCCAGAGCGGAGACCCTTCAGACTGCCTGGCCACCGGGCAGTGGCAGAGACTGTAAAGAGCACCTGCCATCACTCAGAAAGTGTCAGGCACAGGTGGCGTGGAACGTGGTGCTCAAGACAAAAGAGCAGAGACCTCGTGTTGGTCATTTTGCCGTTGGGGTCAGGGTCAGGACCCATTCCCAGGGGGACCTCCAGGCCCAGGGGGGGCTTTCCTTCTCACGGGCCAGCGACTACCATCTACCCAGTCTCCACCTGCCAAGCTGGCGGAAGGACAGCGTTCAGGCTTCTGCAAAGCATGACACGGGCACTTCCTACATGGCTCCGGTGGGGACGTTTCCTCCTCGCCCTCAGGGACCGGTGCTCACCACAAATCCAGCCAGGCACATACGCAACTGGCCTGATCTTGAAGAAATTAAATAGCTCCTACTCCCTTGGGCTTCTCATGCACCCCTCTGTGGTCCTCAGCCTTTAGTGAGCCCCAATCACCAGCGCTGAGCCCATTAAACACAGAGACTCCTGGCCCCACCTCCCAGGTAGTGGCCCAGCTCCGCAGGGGTCCTGAGACAGGTGACAAAATGCTGCATTCCCCCCGCCCCCGGGGGCTCAAACAGGCAGCTGTGCGGACCAGCTGGCATCCAACTGCTCCCTTCCGCTGTGGCAGGGAGCCGGAAGGGACAGCCACGCCAGAGGCAGGGTGGCAGGGTGAAGGGAGAGCCAGGCTGGGGGCAAAGGGCTCCTGACCCCATTTTGGAGGCCAGGTTCTTGGGGCCTTGCCGGGGGTTGATTCATTAACTAGTTAAATTAAAGCAAAGGCCGCCAGAGGTAAACACTTGCATGGTCACGTGGGGGAGGGACTGGAGGACTGCGGAGTGGCAGAGTCTCACCTGACCCAGGGGGTTGTGGCTGCGGCCAGAGGAGGCTGAGGCCCACCCCCAACCAAGGGCGGTGTTGGGCAGGCCAAGAACTCTGAGCTCCTGACTCAGTCACCCGAGGATCTGGCAGGAGGTGATCAGCGCAGGGGCCCGGGAAGAGATTTTACCAGGGACGGCCCTGGAGACACCTCCTCTCAATTGTTTTCACTTGGACAGTCCCCGAGGCCTCTGGGAGGACAGCCCCATGGCATCTCGGAATAAATCCCAAACTCCTTCCCAGGGAAAGGGACCTGCCCGCCCCTCCCTCCCCGCGGCCCCTCCGCTTGCTCTGCTGCTCCTACTCTGACCCTCTTCTAAGCCCGCCCCGCCTCGGAGCCATCTGGAACCCCTTCCCCAGGCAGCCACACTTCTAAGCGCCTTCTGCCTAGGCAGGTGCCAGCTCTGAGGCCTTTCGCAAGCCACCTGCCAGGTCACCTCCGTCCCACAGTCAGGACCCCCAAGGACCGTCTCCTCCTGGGTACCTTGGTCTAGTGTCCTGCTAGCAGAGGAGCCCCAGGCCGCTTGGGCTGGAGCCCAGCTCCCTCATGGCCAGGTCACCTGAACTGGGACCAGTGGTGCAGGGCTCTGAGCCCCAGGATGGGAGAGCAACCCCTTCGGGGCTTTTAATGAGGGGTAATTAGGCCCAGACGTGAAGTGTCTAACAGGCTGGAGAGGAGGGCGCCTTTCCCACCCCAAGACTCCGAGAGACTGCCCACCCTGGGGACTCTCTTCCCTGCCTACCCGCGGCCACACCCGCACCTCCCCCAGCTTTCACCCAGGGCTCAGCTTGGTTTGTTTGTTTGTTTTTTCCGATCTGGTTTGTTTTGGCACTGAGGGCTCATCCTGTCTGGCCAGCGGCCCACTTGGCTCCTAAGTGCGCAGCACTGAGATAGATCTGTCTGATTGGAGCTCCTGTGTTTGTAAATTTCCATTTCTACCTGTTGGCCCCCGCAGAGAAGTGCGCCCTTCTCTCCGCTGCCACCCCGTTCTGATTTTAAAATCAATCATCGGGAATGTTGGTATAGGGGTTTATACAGAATGAGAATCAAACATCTAAAAGGCAGCCTTTGATTCTGGCAGATTACACTATGAAAATAAAGATAATCCTAAAATTTAGTGAGCTCGATTTAAGTTTCATGATGGGTTGGGGATGCTGTCTTTTTTTCCCCTCTTCACCCAGGACAGATCTCATGCACCTAGAACAGGGCACAAAATATAGTAGGTGCTTCATAAAGACATACTGACTACATGAATGTGTAGTGGTTTCTATTGTAGTTATTCAGAATAAGGTGACTGCTACATCTACATCCCATTGGAGGGCTTAAAAAATTACGGTTTATTCGTACAACAGTCTCCTTCCAACCTCAAAAAGAGCCTGCTATCAAAAAATGGTTCACGACCAGGAGAAATGTTTATGACTTAGAGTTAGGTAGAAAGGTGCCGATATAATCCTGATCGCTGAAATTAGGCACACTCACCTCACACAGGAGTGTGTGGCCAGATGGACCTGGGTTAGAAACTTCCCCCCGCTGGTCACGCACAGAGTGTGCCTTGGGCACTTCTGTTTATGTATTCAGCACCTACTCTGGCTGGGCACTGACCTAGGTGCAGGGCTACGGGGCAAAGAAGCCTTTGCCTCTCTCAGCCTTGATGGACTCATCTATAAAGTGCCGCCATCTTGCAGCTCACCGGCAATCATAGGGATTACAAGTTGCGGGGAGTCACACCCCAAATCCACAAACTCTTCCTCTCCAGGTAGCAGGTGAACCACCGTGTCATCATAAACAAGGACTTACAAGGCAGTGTGGTGATGAGGGGACTCAGTGATGGGCCTGCCCAGCTTCCAAGAGCATCTGCTCGGGGCATCAGGCCGGATCCACAGGCGGTCCTTGCTGTCCTTGTCCTCCGGAGGCCTCTGCTCCAGGCTCCCTTTCGCTGAGTGTGCTCCTAAGAGGTGGGGGCACCGTGCCGCCCCCTCTTCGGCTTGGGGAGTCTCAGAAGGCATGCTGCGATTTATCAGAGGGATGGGGAAGAGAAGTCATCTGTTGAGGCCACTCCCAACCGCTGCAGAAGAGCCTCCGCCGATGCTGCTGGGCCTGGCCTCTCACCCACCCCGCCGGGGTGTGGGGCTCCACTCATTCAGGAAGCTCAGCGAGAACAGGCATAAAAACACAGGCACCAGGTGCTCTGGACAAGTTTGGCGGTATCTCAAAAGTTGAACCATAGGTAACCCCCACAACTTTACTCCTAGACATCTATTCAAAAAAAATGGAAACATATTTGCTCACCACATTCACAATAGCACTATTCACAAATAGCCAAAATGTGCAGACAAAGCAAGTGTCCATCAATGAAGGAATGGATATACTCGTACAAAATGTGCTATCTCCATACATGGACTATTATTCGGCCAAGCACGTGGAACAGAGCCTGCTCTCTGTCACTGCTAGGTCTGCGGGGAGGTGATTCTTCCATTCTCCAAAGGTACCTCCCCCCCTGCCCCACCCCCACCCCGCCAATGTTGTAGACCTCCCTCCCCGCTCCGCCACTATTGTCCAGAGCCCAAAAGCCTGGCAGTGCCCTGGCCAGTGGGCGCTAGCTGGGTTGCTGGTCTGGCCAAAATCCCACGGAGACCCAGTCCCTGCAGATGCAGGCATCTCTTTCTTGGCGACTTGCCCCACCCTGAAGCAACCGCCAGAAAGGTAAGGAGCTGCAGGGAACACAGATCGAAATCGATCTGGTTCGCAGAACCCAAAAGCACGCAGGCTCTGGCCCGCATTGCCTGGCTCAGCTTCCAGCGGCTAGAGCAGGCAGACGCACGTGCGTCCCCGGAAGGCCAGCTCACCTGGCGCCTCCAGATGTTCTTCCCACCCCTTAAACCGCGAGACACTCCTGGGGTCATGGTGCCTGCCAGGGCACCCCGCACTCGCGCACCGGTCAGCCCGAAGGAATACGGTTAGGGCAAAGTGTGCGGAGGACGTCTCTTTTGAAGAATTTCCAGGTGGGAGACCGAGGCCCTCCAGTGAATCTGCACACCGTAGGCTCATAATCCTGAAGCTAAAAGTTTCGCGTTCCCGCCACCCCTCCCCCCGCCGCCGACACCGTGCTCCGGGCAGGGCCCCGGTCGCCCTGCCCGACACGGGCACGCAACTCGACCGCCGCCCACGCAGCTACATCAACATTTACCCCCACCCTATGCAATTGGTGGAAAGGAACAATTTGCGAAACAGCCATTTCCCATCCAGAATGCGGCGAAAAATCAATGTTGGGCACCATTACGGCTCACCTCCCCAGAATTCCCTCCCCGGTTCAGCGCGGTGGTCCCAGGCTCACGGCCCCCCATCCTCCACAACTCGGAGTTGGGGTGGGTCCCGGGCCCACGAGCTCTGAACCCTCGGCTTCAGGGCGGTCTCGACTGCTGTAGAGGGGGTCTCGAGAGCCAGGAGGGGTCGCCAGCCCAGTTCCTCCTCGTGCGGCTGCAGATGATGCAACTCCGGCGGAGGATGGTCGCCCCGGTACCCAGACGACCCCTCGGCCCAGGGCTGGGGCGGATCTGGGCGGCGTGGTGCTCACCTGTACCGAACGTGGGAAGGGGGAGTCCAGGAGCGGCGAGCTGAGGCCAGACACCTGTGACCCAGGTACTCGAACCGGGGTTAGCGGGCCTCAGACGGATCCTGCGTGAGAGAGTGGCTAGAAGACGATTGGCTGAGAAGCGGGGGCGGAAGGCCCGCTTTCAACCAATCCCGAGGTGCTGAGCGCCAGGCCGCCGCCACGCCCGGCCCTCCGCCCCCGCTGCCCCGCCCCCCGCGCCAACTCCACTCCCCGCCTGCGACCCCACTCCTCCCGTCCCACCCCCACTGCCGCCCCGCGGGTCGGGACCCGCCTGCCCCCAGACCCCATCCATTCCCAGGACCCTGCCCCCATCCTGCCCTCGAACTGTGCAGGCGCAGGCTGGACCCACGCCTCCCCGCTGCCCCGCCCCCACACCCCACGCTCTTTTGACGCAGGTCCTCGCCACCCCGCGGCCCCGGGGGCTGTGCGTACCCTTTATACCCGAGGCTGTTTTACTGCTTGGGTAACTGCTCGCTCTGCGCGGCGTAATAAACATCTATGGATGAATTTAAAACGTGCCGTATGGAGAGGAGAAAAACTTGGAAGGCCCGGAGGATGAGCCTCAGCAAATATCCCGCCCTCGGGGTCCTTTTACGCGGACCCTGGTCCCCGTGGTCTAGGGGCCTACACGCTCTCGCCCTCTTGTCTCGGGACCGTAGGGGCCGGCAGTTGCAGCGGCCGGACACGCACACAGTGAGCGCTCAGCACCTGGGCGCTGGACAGACCGCGGCAGGAGGGTTATCGGGGTTTTTTCCTATCCCAGTGCCCAGACACACAGCCTTCCTCGGCCCAGCGCCCTTGTCCGCCCAGCAAGGGGGCTCTCCCACTGGTCAGAGGAGGGACCCGAGCTCACTGAGACTAGGTCAAAAGTCACAAAAGCCCCTTAAAACGGATGTTACGCAGGTGGTCCCCATCAATGGACGCCGGGGCTGCCAGCCAGGAGGGGTCTGGGAGCCCTGGGAGGCCACACCTAACAACCCTATTCCAAACGGTGCGCTCTGGAGTCCCCCAGAGCTGAATGGAGAACCCCTCAAGCTGAGTTTCTCCACACGTGACTCGTCAAGGGCGGTGCCTCCTGGTTTGGACACAGGGGGGCACGCTGAGTCGCTCTACTGAGCGCCTTGTGTCTAGGCCCCATCTACAATTATTTAGCAAGTCCCTGCCACCTGCCCAAACATGTCCCAGGCCCTTGTATAGAGCCCCACTCAGAGTACCAGGGGCTTCTTCCCCAGCGCTGTTTCTAAACTATCTAGGCCAGCGATTTTCAACCTGTGGGACGCAAGAATTGTTAAAACATGCAATACCTGACTATTTACTCAGGGATACTGACCTCTTTTCTGTCAGATTGTCAAATAAAAAAATACCAACAGCCAACACAACAATAGCCATTCTATGGGAATGACCTGTCTTGAACCATAAATATATAGGTCATATAAGAGAGTTGCCTCTTACTGGTCACATCACATAATAATGTTGCATCTGATTGGTTAATTCTTGGTGCCAGAAATCCTTATATACAAGTATAGGCACCTGATTTTTTTTTTTAAAGTCATTTTGAGAGCAAGAAAGGTAGGCAATTACTAATATTAGTAGTAGTAAACCAATAAAAATGATACCTATTTTTGTCAGATCAGCAAAGACTGTATTTTCTGGAGTGCCGTGGAACTTTAGTAATTAGTTTTTGTGTGCTATGAGATGGAAAAGGTTGGAAATCACTGACCTAGGAGAAGGGGGCTCAACCAGACAGGATTTCATAATGAAATGTCCACTAGTGAGAACCGGTATGAAGAACCATAAAGTCTGGAATGTGGGAGAGGGACGGAAAGGGGAGCTAGTCTTAGATCGGGGGGGTCAAGAAAAGTCTCCCTGGACAGGTGACCTTGGGTGGAGGCCTCCGGAGCCACACCTTGTTCTGGGGGAGGAGTGTTCCAGGTGGAAGCCGCCATTGCCCATGCTGGGCAGGAACCAGCTCAGGCCCCTTAGAGGGACCCCCGCAGTGAGGAGGAGGAGAGGTCGCAGACGGTGCGAAGGGGTGGGGCCTGAGCTCTGTGAGCCAGGGTCTGGACTTTAGCCTCAGTGATGTGGGGCCCTTGGGGGTAGGGTTGGGGTTTTTAATTAATTAACTAATTTATTTATGTATTTGAAGCCATTGAGAGGGGAAGGTTAGGGAGAAAGACAGCAAGAGAAGCATTGATTAGTTGTCTTCTTGTTCGCACCTGAAGGGACCAAACCTGCAACCCAGGCATGTGCCCTGGCAGAGAATTGGACAGGTGACCTTTTGGTCTGTGGGACAATGCCCAACCCACGGAACCACACCGACCAGGTCTTCAGGTAGTTTTTGATCATGCTCTGCATCATTTTATCTTGGCATAATTTCAGACTGTCACAGAAGTGGCAAAGAATTCCTAGATACTCATCCAGATTCCCAAATGTTAAACTTGTACTGATGCAGGGGGCCGCTTTGAGTGGTGTTGGGAACTGTAGCCCCGCGCAAGCTGGGGCCCGGGAGAGGACCCGTAGGCCTTGGCCTAGGAACACTGGTAAAGCTGGAGGCAGGCAAAACCCGATGTTGACTCCAAGGGTCCCTGGGGGAAATCAGGCCTAGAAGTAAATCACACTCCCTGAAGCAGGCTTTGTTTCTCCCTCAGGCTCTGTTAACCTTTTGCCAGATAACCAGCTCAAGGCTGGGAAAGAAATTTACAAAACTCCTGGACCCTGACCTAGATCCCACCTGGTGCCATAATGTTTGCTCAACCTGGACACGAAGCAATTTGGTGTGTTCCTGCCATTGTCATCTTTAAACAGTATCTACTCTTGTCAGCTTAAACTGCTGATGTAATTATATTACCTATACTTCCCTGCTGCCAATCCCCCGCCTGCAATCCTCTCAATAAAAGCCATTGAGCACAGGGGCTCGGGGCCTTCCACACTAGAGGGAACCGCCTTCCCCTTTCCTTGACAGACAGTTGGTGTCTGGAACGACTCTCTTTAATCCACGGCAAATCCGGGGATTTCACAACACGAGGTCCCTCATATATTAATCCCTGGAATCTGTGAGTGTGACCTTATTTAAAATTAGGGTCTTAGAGGGTATAATCAACTTAAGATGACATCATACTGGTATCCTCATAAGAGGGAAATTTGGACACAGACACAGAGAGGACAAGGACATGTGGCCACAGAGGTGGAGATTGGAGCCCTGCTGGCGCGAGACAGGGACGTGGCACCAGGAGCTGGGAGAGGCCGGAAGAGCCCCCCGACCCCTCTCGGTGCTCAGGGGGAGCAAGGTCCTGCCTTGATTCTGGATTTCTAGCCTCCAGGAGTTTGGGGTCGTTGTAATGGCAGCCCACGCGCCAACATTTTGAAAGATTTTTTGACACAATTTCCAACTGCCAGAAAAGCGGTAAGAATGGTACAAAGAATTCCCAGAGGCCCTTCCAAATGTTCAATAATTATTACATTCGCTTTACAGTTTTTTCCTCTCTTCCTTTATCTCTCTCTGTATGTGTTTGTGCATGTATTATATGAATCTAAGTATCATCTATTTGTTGTCTATATTTTAAAAATATATTTTGCTTTGTTTTTGATTATAGAGAGAGGGGAAGGGAGAGAGAAAAAGAGAAACAGTGATGTGATCAGTTGCCCTCTGTAAGAGCCCCAGGGGGACTGAACCTGCAACCCAGGCAGGTACCCTGACTGGGAATTGAACCAGCGACCTTTTGGTTTGTGGGACAGTGCCCAGCCAACTGAGCCACCACCGGCCAGGGGTCTCTCTGCTTTTTTTTCTGCACAGTTGAGAGTAAGTCCCTT